GTCTCCTAAACATTCTTTTTTCCTCCCATCAGCTGAGCGCTTGATCTTTGCAAAATAGAAATAAAATAAAAAGAAGGGGCTCTTTGCTGCCTGGGGACACAGAGCACAGGGAGCCCTCTGCTGACTGCCCCTCACCTTACTACCGAGGGGCATCTCTTCATTCCCCAGCGGCCCCTGCCAACACCCCACTTCCGGACCTTTCTAAACGATTTGGTGCATTTTTTAAACTTTCGGCATTTTGTTAGGCCTCTGCAGAAATTGCAGACGCCAGCAAGAAGTCCAATTAGCTCTGTAAGCTCGAGTGGGATTCCCTGGTGTCGGTGGCAAGGGCAAAACCTACACAAGGAGAGAGACCAAGATGTCCAGTGCTTACCCACCAAAGCTGCTCCTCCCTGACCCGCTGCACCGCTCATAGCAGATCCCGGAGAAACAAGAGCCAGTGAGGGGACTTGGCACTTGAGAGGAAAGTGACTTTCAGCTGGCAGCCTACTCACTCCCCGGAGGAGTCACTGCGGCCAGAGCGGAAGACTGGCCACCGGGCCTGCGGCTCCCCAGGGCAGGGCCGGTGCTCAAGCCGGCGTCCGTGGACTCTCCCTGAACCCCCCTCTCTCTCTCTCGCTACCATCACTCCCATCCATGAGCAGTCTCGGGACCAAGGGGGCACCCTAGAATCAGAACACACTTGCAATCTCTCGCTGTGGTTATTATGGGCAAGAATTAGAGGACAGGGCTATTTGCTCTGCTCCAGCCACACACACACATACACACACACACACACAAAAAAAAAAAAAAATCAGAAGATTCTGTCTACTCTGAAGGCTGCAGGCAGCTCAGGTTACCAGCTCTGACTAAGCCTTCTGGAGCGGAGTGGTCGGGATGCAGGACTCCGTGACACGAACACGTCTGCAGCCTGTGATGTGCTGGCTCTTGAGCTATGAGACACACGTCTGTGACCTCAGTTCCTGCCAAGAAAAAGAGCCCAGCCCACAGCGCAGCGTGGTTCTCCCACAGCACTAACGACAGGCCTGCTAGGCGTCATACATGAGCCAGGATGCTAAAACGGTTCCAGGATGCAGCCCTTTTATGTAGAAAGGGTGGACATCTGATCGCAGCCGCCATGCCGGCTAGCCAAGCATCTGCTTCACAGCTCTCTGCTCAGGAGGCTCTGGGCAGCTTCTAACAGCTGGGCAGCGGCGGGCCCTGGCTTCAAAGGCCTTCTCCTCCAAACCGCATGCCCACCCCCCGTGGCTCTCAGTCCGAGGGAGTGGAGTTGGGGGGCCAGAAACACTCACTTGAGCTGCACAGAGCAGAGACTGCATCCATAAGCAGAACTAATTCTTAAGCTGAAAGGAAGTGACTCTTGGCCTTATCGTTGTCTAACCTGGTTTTCTCCTTTTAGCTCCTTCTCATCCACTACGGTGACCACATAGGTCCTGAGGCAAGAAAACAAACTCACTTGAAACCTCAGGCACCAAATGGCTGCCAAGAGTGGTCAGAGAAGTGGCGGGCACTGCCCAGCCCCAGAGGCACCAGGGCCTATGGGCGGGCAAAGGGAGCCCCAGCGCTCGTTTCCAGGGGTGCAGCTTCTCAGCTCTCACAGAGCCTGACAAGAAAGGAAGAGCCCAGGCCAGGAGTCAAGAGACTGGTCCTGGGTCTGGCTCTCCCGGGGCCCAGTCCCCAACCTCACAGGGCCAGTTCCTTCCCCCGCAAAAGCCATGGCCACTCCCGACTCTAAAACCGTATACGCTCTTGCATCCCCCAGAGAGTTTTAAATCAATTCTGGTGGAGCTTGGCGCCACAATCAATAGACAACAGTTTCTGGACAGACGCATGAAACCAAAGCAAAATAAATCACTCTACATAGGAATAATACAAGGCATTGTTACTTTTTATAAACACGCTTTAAGCCAAACTAAGGCATACATCACTATGGTTCAACAAAAAGACAAAATACTAAAACAAATAACCTATTTCAACACTAAAGTCAACACTCCGTTCAGCTAAATCAACTGAAAAGGAGTTTAAGTCATTTAATAAGAAGTTTCCTATTCGTGAATCAAAGAGCATCACCGAATGCCTAGAACAACAACAGAATGTCAGGTCTCAGAGATCATCGAGGGCAACTGACTCATTTGACTGATGGAAAATCAAAGTGCAGGCCAGGCAGGCAATGTGGACAAGGTCACAATGGCAAAACGGGGATGGGAACCCACAGCCCACAGCTGCCTGGGTCTGTCACGTGGTCAGTGCTAAGTGTTTGATGGTGAATGAGGTTAAGTGGTGTTCCCTTCCATGCACGGTTCTTCTAACTGATCTCCAGGTTATGGAGATGTCCTAGAGCACAAGCATTTCAAAATCCCACTTTTAGCTCCTTGGAAGCCAGACTGGAATTTCTCAGCCTTTCCCACCTAAGCTAACAACCTTCCCAACTGAGGAAACCACAGGGCAAAGAAGCCACGGCTGGGAACCCGGAGTCTTCCTCGCCGAGTACCGGGGAAGCAGCCTAACTGCAGCTTTAGTGATGTGTTTACATCAAACTTTCAAACTGACTCAAGTCACGGACCTTCAAAGCACTGGATAAGGGGCAAGGAAGAGGTCTGCTGACAACAAACTTCTCCGGCGACAGAATCATAAACATCTCAGAAATCCCTTTTCTGGGAGGGTTTGGAATTGCAGCAATAAGAGGTAGCACTTTGGGTCTAGGAAATCGGTTTAGCTAAATATACAAAAGCAAAAAGAATTTGGGGTCTGTAACGAGTGGGGGATGCGGAGGAGGCCAGGGGCCCGAGGCTAGGGGCTGTTTAGGCTGCAAGCGCCCCCCGTGACGCCAGGTGGCTCAGGGCTCCGGGATGGAGCAGCGGGCAGGAGAAAGGGGGAGCCGAGGCTGGGGGCCTTAGGACTTTGGGGGCCCCAGGGCTTTGGGGGCCGCGCTGGGAGGGGCGGGCGGGGCCGGGTACCGGGGCGGTGTCCCGGGCGGGGCCGGGGGCGGGGCGGGCGGGGAGGACGCGGTCCGGTCCCGCGCCGGGGGCGGCCCACGCACCTCCTCGGCCTGCTTGCGCAGCGCCTTCTCGCGCTCGTACTGGGTGAGCAGCTGCTCGTTGTCCTCGCGCAGCAGCTCCAGCTCCACCTCGTGCTCCTGGTTCTCGCTGAGCACCGAGTCCAGGTTCTCCAGCACGTTGACCACCAGCGGCATGAGCTCCTTGACCACCTCCTCGTCGTAGCAGTGGATGAGGCGCTCGAACTCGCGGTAGATGGAGCCCGCCAGGCCCGACACCCGCTCCGACATCACCGAGCCGGAGCAGTAGTCGTCCTGGTACACCACGACGCCGCCCTCGTCCATCTGGATCTCCATCATCGCGGCCACCGCCGCCGCCAGCGCGGCCCGCTGTGCGCCGGCGCGCCTGCCCTCCAGCCCCGGCTGCCCGTGGTCCGTGGACCGCGGCCCGTCGCCTCCGCAGCAGCCCCGGTGGATGTGGCCTCAGGGCTCGGCCGCCGCCGCCTCCGCTGGTGCTGATGCTGCGTCCGTCACTCAGGGGCCGGAAGTCCTGCCGCCCGGAAGTCCCGCCCGCGGGGCAGAGGGGGAGGTGCCCGCCGGTCCCGCCGCGCCGCTAGGGGTCGCAAGGGCCGTCAAATGAAGGAAGCTGGACTCTGGGCCTGAAGCTCGGCGGAGCCGGGCAAGGAGCGATCATCATGTCAGGCTGGTCGCCTCGCTCCCCCCTGCCCCCCGCCCCCCGCCCGCGCCTGTCGCACTTACCGTGTCCCCGTCAGCTCTCAGAGTCCGGCTCGGACACTTAAGTGACTTAGTTTATGTCCCAAGAGCATAGACAGACGGTTGTGTACAGTTTGGAGACTTAGATGAGCATCCGCACGCCCACCCTCCCCTTCAGAGTGACCACGGTGCTGGCCTGGTGCGCTCCGATTTGCCCCCATAGTTGTACTACGCTTAGTGCACACTCCTACACAGCAAGCATTCAGGGCTTCTCCTGCATGGTGCCTGGCATCCACTATCGCTTCTGGGATTCCAGTTCAGTGCAAGCTGCCCAGCTCATCCCCAAATCCAGTTAACAAGCTCTTTCATTTAGTTTACTTCCAAGTCCTGCATTTTGTGTAACTTAAGATTTCCCAGTTTCACTTCAGCTACGTGTAATCTATGTAGCCCATCCATTGAGTTTTTAATTCCTATTTATCCTATGCGATGTTCTTGTATTCTACCAATTTGGATAGGCTCTTATTTCAACCACTTTTAGCTACTTACTTTAAATCTCTTGGATCTCATAATTACAATCTGCAGCCTTTGCAGGTCTGATTCTGCAGTCTGCTGTTTTGGTTGAGTCTTGCTCAGGCTCTCCTCCCTCCCCTTGAGCTAGTTAGCATTCCTTGGAACTGCATCTATGGAAAGACATTTAGGCCCAATTTAAAATGAGTTGCTCCAGATGATTTATTTTCTTTCACAGGCATGAGGACACCATGAACACCGGGCCACACAGACTACGTAGTGTGAACTCTACCAAAGCCAAACCAAAATTATTGACAGTTTAACAGAAATGCTCTCACCCCTACTCCATGAAATGGATTTAGCACCATCTCTAATAAATAGTAAGAATCTCTTCTGTGGACTGAAGACCCGGGTTCGATTCCAGTCAAGGACACATGCCTGAGTTGTGAGCTTGATCCCCAGTGTGGGGCGTGTAGGAGGCAGCCGATCAAATAATTCTCTCTTGTCATTGGTTTCTATATCTCTCTCCCTCTCCCTTCCTCTTTGAAATCAGTAATTATATATATTTATATAACAGCTGAACCTTTGGTTTTCAAATGAAAAAAACCTAAATCCATAACCTTAGAGATAATTTTGGGCATCCCCTGGCTAAATGGGGAAAAAAAGGCAAACCCATTCACTGATGAAACGCTGTAAGAGAAGGAGCAGCGGTCAGGCATGATGGAGAATGGATGTTAAGGAAAGTATGTACACCCCCAGAGACACAAAACACCAAACAGGCAAAGACCCTGCATACATGATTACTAACTTTATTTAAACTGTTACACCCAATTCTGCCTTGTAAAAATAAAATGTTCCTATCAAAATTACATTGTGATGTGAGTATAGGTTTGTTGTTTTTGATACAGCTCTAGAAAAAAGTTGGCACCAAATGCACATAAAAAGTTTTAAGGCTTAATAAAAATAGACTGGTAATTTTTCAATGCAGCTTAGAGGCTGATAAGAGGATGCTAAGAGTTCATGGATCCCTGCCAGTGGATGGAACTAGAGTCCTCCTCTCATTTGCCTGACAGTGAGGGTGAGGGTGAGGCCGGAAGGGCCAGCAGCACAATGCCAGCAACCCAATTTGGAATTCGCAAGTTATTTTGTGTATTAAAAAGCAAAACGTAGTTATAAATGGCAGTTCATTTATATCATTAGTGCATTTCATTATAAGTTAAAACCAATTTGTGTGTTTGGGCTTAAAAGTTAATCACCATTTATGACATGTTTTAATGGGGGGAAATATTCTGAATTTCAAACAATTTTCTTAAAAATGACCATTTGAAACATGGAGACAGGAAGTACTTGATAAAGTCACATAAAATAAGTATTTCTTGGCTCCAAAATCGGCAGGAAAACTGAAAGGAGGGAAACTCTTTGGTTGACAAAGCCACATGCAGATCCCAATGTGCCGGGTGTAAGAGTGGGGTTTGGGGGCAGCTCCTGTAGGCACTTAGTGTCTCAGCCACTGGGGCTGCAACTAAACACACAGGTTTCTTTCCTCAATTTTGACAACGAAGGCATTCCCAGCACCTGGCATTAGCTCTGCAGGCACTCAAACCAACAGCCACCACCACACAAACCCTCTCTCCTCTATTTACTGTTCCAGCGTGAGTGATGGAGACTCTCTTAGGAAGCTCAGTGGGAGAGACTTCTGCCTGACAGATTAAAGCAACTCATCTTGCCAGGTCGTTACCTTTGCCGATAAGTAGCATAGAATTTGGCCAGTTAAGGCTTTTTTGACAAACTAATCTCCTAGCCTCAGGCCTCCCAAGTCTCTTCTGGAAACTGAATATGGTCCAAAGGTCCTGCAAAGCTTTATAAAGGGTGGCCTAAGTCAACTTTTCTTCCTTTGGTGTACCTGAGCAACTGACTTTTTTCTAGAGAGGTGTCAGAACAGACCAGAGTCAACAGTCACTTGGTATTTGAGATATTAAAGAACTCAAAGTTCTCAAACATCTCTTCTTCCCAATGCCAACAGGAGTAAAGACGCGTGAAAGATTTAAATAACCAATTATGTATCTGGATAGTGTTTTAGTCATACAGAAGTCAGTGGGCCTTGCAGATAAATGAACTGTCCACATTAGTGGTAAAGAGCTAAGGCTGAACTTTAAGGATGAGAGGAAAAAAAGCCCACAAAAACAATTCACAAGCAAAACCAGTCTGTGAAGAGACCGAGTCCAGCCCCTTGTGAGTGAAAGGCAGATAGATCACCCCAGAGGATCGGGGTTCAAATCTGTCCATAAAGCGTAAGACTGAGAAAACTTTTTGGTTTTTGTTGACAGCTGCCGATGGAAAGCAATCAAAATACTTCAAGACAAGACTGCAGAATACTCTGTGCCTGGTGCAAAGAAGGTCTCGGGTAGCAGCAGTAGTCCCAAGAATGGAGACTAGTGTTTCGGCTTTTGCTCTGCGCACAGGTTGTTTTGGCTTTCTTTCTGAGGCTTTAAACTCGGCTACTGTGTGAAGTGATTCCTAGATACCCGATTGGCTGGCAGTAACCGATGCAGCGACTTGGAAGATCTCACTTCACCAGCTCCCCACCCAGCCCAATGAAAGTTCCTCTCACATCCAAAATGACGTGGGACTGCTCCCCAAGGCGTCACAGCCCCCCAAAAAGAAATGTCTCTCGGCAGTCTGGAAGGTGAGGTCCTCTGTGGGGAGCCTGAGCAGTGGCTTCAGATACACGACAGACCCTCTATCCAACCCCGTTCCTAAAGGAACTATATTTGAAATCCTATCTCTCGATTTTCTTATCTGGCTACAGGGGAAGCAATGCTTCTCTAGTAGAAGGAGATGCTGGATTTGCCTCCAGGTGGATTCAGGACTTTGTTGTGAGATCGAGGACGTGGGCCCAGCCTGGGCTCATGGCTGTCAGCTGTAGGTGTGGGCTGGGGCTCCTGGGCACAGTCTGCTTCTCTTGGGCCACCTTTCTCTCCGGGCTCTTCTCTGGGCAAGGCGCTCATGGCAGCTGTGGGACAAAGCAGCAAACCATCCCGTTAGAGGCTCCCCAACACCTGGATGGGCAAGCTGTGCACACGGCAAGTCTGTGACATAGACCAGCTAGCAAGAAATGCACACGGTAATGGGAAGAGAGAAAAACAGAGCAAGGCTTCCGTCTGTGCCAGGAAGACTCACTGATTATAGCAGAGGCCATTCCTGAACTGGGCATAAAGTTGGGCTCAGTACTATAAATAATCCTTGATAAATTCCCAAATAAGCTCAATACTTCTTTATATTGCTTGTTGGACTCCGTTTCCCTTTTTCTCCACCCCAACATAAAAAGCACACTATCTCAAAGTAAGCATGAACAAAGAGGAAGTCAGTCTTAACTGGAGGGTCTAGCAAGATGAAGCAAGGTTTTCTGGACTTTTTGAGTGAATAAATGAATTCCCACGTATCTTGGTTATCAACTGAGGGAAATAGAGGCAGAAATCAGTGCTGTCAGCTTAGAGAACAACAGTGGGCCTCCCAGTCTGACAGCGACCACACCACGGGGGAAGCTTACTGCCTGGGTGATGGATTATGGAAGCACCAGCTCTCCCCACCACAGCAAGCTTACATTCTTCCTTCTCACCATTCCTGTCCCCGCTCTTCTCATGCCCTTCTTTTCTGCATTAGTTCTGCTGGTGCTGCCCGCAGTCCCGGGACTTGGGATCCCCGCCCTTTCCTACAAGAGATCAGCTTCTAAAATAGGACACCTTTTGTCTTAGGCCCGGGCTGATGAGTAATGACAAGATGGGAAGAAAAACCAGTGATGACCTGTTGAAAAGGTTTCATCAGGAATAGCTGAGCCCATTTCCCTGGCCTTCTTTAAATCTTAAACCCTCAGCAATAAACACAACCTTGTTTTTCTCAGCTGGCTTGCAAGGGACACAGGAATGCTACCTCTCATTCTCTGGGGTGCACCAGTAACTCTTTCAGAGTGACAGCACTTGGGAAGGGACAGGAAACAAATTCACCTGTAGGGTCCAATTTCCGGTCTTCTCCTTCACACAAGAGCACATGGTCCTGCAACGAGGCAAACCCCATGTCAATATGTAATTCAGAAACTTTTCACGCTCATTCAGATGGACGATGGAAATCAAGACATGGATGGAGGATTTGGGTCATTTTTCAACTTAAACCATAAACAAAGTAGCACTGGGAATCCTCTCAACCCGCTGTAGAGCTGCAATGACATAAACTCATTGCCATACGGTCTCAGTCACAATCTCCCAATCAAATCTCTCCTCCCTCTTGTGGAATTATTTTAAAGCAAATTCTAGAAATTTCAAGATGCGGCTCTTAAAAATGTCCTAAAAACCAACCAAACATCCGTAACACACACAGTTTCAAAAACAACTGATTCCTTAAATAACTAATACCTAACCAAATTTTATATTAGGTTATGTTTTCAAGGCTCATCCATGTTGTAGCATGTATCAGAAATGTCATTCCATTTTATGGCTGAATACCCTTTAAGTATGTATAACACATTTTATTTATCCATTCATCTGTTGGTTGACATTTGGGTTGTTTAATAGCATCACTGTAAGTACTGCTATTAAAATAGGTGCACAAATATCTTTATTCTTGTTTTCAAATTCTGGAAATATTGATATATACCAAAGAGGGAATAGCTGGATGATATGGTAAATTCTATGTTGAGCTTTTTCAGAAACTCCAACTGTTTTCCACATTGGCTAAACTATTTTACATTCACAATAGCACAATATGAGGGTTTCAATTTTTCCATATCCTTACCAATAAATAACATGTTATTTTTTGTTTACTTTTATAATAGTCATCCTAGTGGGTGTGAAGTGGTACCTCCTTGTGATTTTCCTGTACCTTTCCCCAAGGACTAAGAATGCTGAACATCTTATCATGTGCTGATTGAAGAAATGTCTATTTAAGGCCTTTGTCCATTTTGAATTGGGTTGTCTTTTGTTGTTTGGTTGTGGAATTCTTTATATATTATCTGGGTAGCAAACCTTGATCAGATATGTGATTTCATATATCCTATGGGTTGTATTTTCATTCTCTTGATAGTGTTTTTTTAAATTATTTTTTAAAATTACAGTTGACATACATTATATTAATTTCCAGTGTAAAAAAAAATTAGACACTTATATACCTTACAAAATAATCACCTCTATAAGTCTATTACCCATCTGACATCATAGTTATGTTGTTGATTCTATTCACTATGCTCTTCTTTATAGGACTGTGACTATTTAAAAAATATATATATATATTTTTATTTATTTTAGAGAGGAAGCAAGAGGGAGAAAGAGACAGAAACACCCATGATGAGAGAGAATCATGGATCAGCTGCTTCCTGCAAGTTCCCCGCTGGGAATCAAGCCCACAACCCGGGCATGTGCCCTTGACCAGAATCAAACCTGGGACCTTTCAGTTCGAAGGCCAATGCTCTATCCACTGAGCCAAACAGGCTAGGGCTTTAAGTCTTTAACTAGATTTTTATTGATTTCAGAGAGGAAGGGGAGAGACAGACAGACACACACACAGAGACACACACAGAGACACACACAGAGACACACACACACACACACACACACACACACACACACCAGTGATGGAATCACTGACTGGATGCATTCTGTACACCCCCCACTGGGAATTAAGCGGGCAATCTGGGCATGTGCCCTGACCTGGAATCTAACAGCGACCTCTTGGTTCATAGGTTGATGCTCATCTACTGAACCAAGCCAGCCAGGCCTGTGGCTATTTTTATAACTGGCAATTTCCCCCTCACTTTCTCACTCAGCACCCCAACCCCTCTCCCATCTGGCAACCACCAATTCGTACTCTGCATCTGAGTTTGTTCATTTACTTTGTTTCTTAGATTCCACATATAAGTGAATCATATAGTATTTGCTTTTTTTTAATATATATCCTTTAAGATTATTTTTATTTTTTTTGTCTTTTTAAAAATATATATATTTTATTGATTTTTTAAAGAGAGAAAGGGAGAGGGACAAAGAGCCAGAAACGTCGATGAGAGAGAAACATCAATCAGCTGCCCCCTGCACACTCCCCACTGGGGATGTGCCTGCAACCAAGGTACATACCCTTGATTGGAATCAAACCTGGGACCCTTCAGTCCACAGGCCGATGCTCTATCCACTGAGCCAAACCGGTTTTGGCAGTATTTATTTTTTTGTTTGACTTATTTCACTAAGCATACCTTCTAGTTCTATTCAAACTACCATAAATGGCAAGAGTGCATTCTTTTGTTATGTCTGAATAATATTCCATTGTATATATGTACATCTTCTTTATTTATTTATCTATCAATGGACACTTAGGTTGCTTACATATCTTGGCTACTATAATTAATGCTATATTGATGGTGTCTAAAATTTTTTAAATTGATTTTAGAGAGAAAGGGGAAGGAAGCGAGGAAGGGAAAGGAGAGGAGGAAAGAAAAATCGACTTGTTCTACTTTATTTATGCATTCATTGTTGATTCTTGTATGTGCCCTTACTGGGGATGGAACCCACAACCTTGGCATATCAGGATGACGCTCTAATCAACTGAGCTACCCAGCCAAGAAAAAAGTTTTTAATTTTAAACTTTTTTTTTAAAATATATTTTATTGATTTTTTACAGAGAGGAGGAGAGAGGGATAGAGAGCTAGAAACGTCGATGAGAGAGAAACATCGACCAGCTGCCTCTTGCACACCCCCTACCAGGGATGTGCCAGCAACCAAGGTACATGCCCTTGACCGGAATCAAACCCGGGACCTTTCAGTCCACAGACCGATGCTCTACCACTGAGCCAAACCGGTTTCGGCAAAAGTTTTTAATTTTAATGAAGTCCTATTTATTATTTGAAATTTTGTTGCCTTTATTTTTGGTGTCATAAGCCACTATCAAATCTAAGGTCAAAGATTTGTCCCTAAATTTTCTCAGAATTTTGTAGCTTTAGCCTGTAAATGTAGGTCTTTGGTCCGTTTTTAGTTAATGTTTGTATATGGCGTAAGGTAAGGGCCACCTTCCTTTTTTGCATGTGCATATCCAATCTCCCCAGCAACATCTGTTGAAGTGACTGTTCTATTTCCCGCTAATGATCTTGGCACCGTGTGAACATATCAATTAACCCATAAGAGTGAGAATTTATTTCTTGGTTCTTAATTCTATTCCACTGGTTTATATGTCTATCTTTATGCCAGTGTCACACAGTTTTAATTATTGTAGTAAATTTTGAAATTGGGAGGAGTAAACCTCCAACTTTGTTCTTAATTTTCGAAGTTGTTCGACTCTTTTGGCTCCCTTGAGATTCCATATGAATTTTAAAATGAGTCTATTTTTTTATAAAAAAAAAAAAAAAAAAAAAGCAAAGTTGATAGGGAGTGTGTTCATAAGTTGCTTTTTAAAAAAAATATATTTTATTGATTTTTCACAGAGAGAAAAAGAAAGGGACAGAGAGTTAGAAACATCGATGAGAGAGAATCATCGATCAGCAGCCTCTTGCACACCCCCTACTGGGGATGTGCCCGCAACCAAGGTACATGCCCTTGCCCGGAATCGAACCCAGGACCTTTCAGTCCGCAGGCCAACGCTCTATCCACTGAGCCAAACCGGTCTCGGTTTGTTTTGTTTTGTTTTTTTAATTAGAATATCCCTCAACTCTGCTATTCATTTCCCATATTTTCGATAACTCTGAAACCTGTAATATTGACTAACATGAGGTTTGATCTCTGTTAGGCCTTTCTTTTTATAATCAAAGTTGGTCCATGATGGCCTTCTATTATGAGTCTTATAGTTTTTGGTTTGTCTCTTGTTTTGTGATGTTAAGAACCACTGATGATCACTGCTTAGATCCACAATTTCATCAGAACTCTGCAAAATGGTGATATCTGAATTCTTTTATTCCTTCTTCACTTACAGGCTAGAGTACTTTCATAAAAGGCAAATTTGCCTTAAAAACTGATATCCTGAAGCACAATTCATGCAGAAAACGCTGTCTACATGCTTGGTTCTGTCTTGGTCGGTGTAGCTACGTTGGTTCAGCATTGTCCATGCTAAAAGGTTACTGGTTCAATTCCTGGTCACAGCACATGCCTGGATTATGGGCTCAATCCCCAGTAAGGGGTATGCAGAAGGCAGCCGATTAAATGCTTCTTTTTTTCCTCTCCCTCTTTTTTCTTCTCTCTCTAGTCAGTAAAAACATATTTAAAACAAACAAATGCTTGGCTGTCTTTTAGCAGTTTTCATGATACTGAGTTGATCCTCTGGCATTCTCCAAAGGTGATAAATAAGATTTAAAAAAAAATAGCCCTAGCTAGTTTGACTCGTGGATAGTGCATTAGCCCTAGGACCAAAGGATTCTGGGTGTGAGCCTGGTCAAGGGCACCTGCAGGAGGCAACCAATCAATGTGTCTCTCTCCCATCGATATTTCTCTCTCCCATTCTCTCTACAAATCAATGGAAAAGTATCCTGGGGTAAGGATTGACTGAAAAAGATTTTTTTTTTAAAGAGTGTAAGTAGGGAACCCATGAAGTCTAAATACTTGGTGAATTTTAGTCCAATGCAGTTGTACTTATCAATGACCATTAAACATTGTGAAATTTTTGTGAAACGTAAACTCATCTTTTGTATGAACAATTCTATAACTATTCTTGGCACTCTTCAGTGATCTGCAGTGATGTGCAGTGGGTAGTCGCTGCTGTCAACACGCTAAGACCAGCTTTCCCCAGGGCTCAGTCATCACGAGGATGGAATCTATTTCTCCCATGACTCAGGGGAGCTTTAAAACTCAATTACTAATGACTGCACCCAGGAACACCAGCGTCACCCTTCCGTCTATTCCTAATAACATGCCAAGGCTGCCTCAGGGCCTTTGAGAAAGAACCTGGCTCAGTGTTTGCTTTTCTTTCTTTTGTGTCTGCTATCTGAATGTAGTCCATACCTTGGGTTTGTTGGGATGCGCTGAGGGTAAAGTAGCCGTCACAGGGGACCCAAATATGTCACTGGTCTTCCCACCAGGGGGGTTCAGACGCTGTCGAGTGTGCACAGGCATTGACTCTTCAAAAATACCACTTCCTTTTCCTCCTGCAGAAACAAGCACAGAGCAGTGAGCAATCCAGAACATCTCCCTGCTCCTGCCTTTCCCAGTCATCACTTCAGAGAGCTCCTCTCACAGTAACCCTAGTCCAGTCACGAGTTCAGGCCAACAAGGCCGGGACAGTGAGAGTCCCCTTTGCCAGGTGCCTGCGGGGCCTTCGTTTCTGGAGCTGAGCTGAACTGGGCTGGCTACTAGAGGCAAGATGGTGAGATAGCATAAAGCGGCTTCCCCTCCCGCCCTAGATTTCTTTACCCCTGAACTTTTCATGTTTTTGTTAGAGAATCTTCTTCATTAAACCAATGAAATGTTCTTTAGTAGATTAAAAGCAAACAGTGCCTAAGTTTTTAGGTCAGACAGAAAAGACGGAATTTAATAACATGCCCTGTTAGAGGCAAAGCTGTAATCTGGAAAATAACATTTAGTAGTAATTTTCTGACCTCACTCTGGCTGGAATTTCCAGTGACAAGTAGATATGTCAGCAAATTACAGACATTTAACATCTTTGCCGCCAACTATAAAAGTCATTTGATAAGACATAAGCAAGATATGCATCTAAGATATCACTAAGGCCTGGCCATGAAAAGTAAATGTTAAAATACAATACCAATAGATCATTTATTCACTGAGCAAACACCACACACGCATTTCCTTTCCACAGGGTGCTAAGCTAAGTGCCGGGACCATTATGATCATGGCCCTGGTACACCAACAATTTATCTTATAGGAGGAAAGAAGATGCATTCCATTAAATAGCTATACGACCATACAGACGTTACTTGGCTGTTTTGTGCCCCGAATTCCTCATCTGTAGAATGGGGATAATAAAAGGATCTTCCTCACAACGACTTACTGTAGCTCATGTGTCAGATGCTTAGAACAATGCCTAGGAAATAAATGCTCAATAAGTGTTGGCTGTATTTTCTATGTGTTGGAATACTGTCCAGTATAAAACAATCTACATAGCACACAACGTAAAAAAAGGGGGTATTCTTTGTTGCTCCCATCTGAATAAGGAAAAGTGATTACAGTCACTTCTTGGCTATAGTGACCCACACTGTTTCCAAAGAAGACCCTGAACACTAAGAAGAATATGAATGACAAGCCCGTGTGAGCTCGGAGAGGAAGGAGGAGGCTCCTCTGGGGTTTGTTCTTTCTCTAGCCTTCAGACCCCTGCTGTTGGAGTGGATTCTAAAGCAGAGTGGATGGCCAGCTGGTGTGGCTCAGTGGTTGAGCATCAACCTATGAACCAGGAGGTCACTGGTTCGATTTCGGTCAGGACACTTGCCCGGGTTGTGGGCTCAACCCCCAGTAAGGGGAATGCAGAGGCAGCTGATCAAATGGTTCTCTCTCATCATTGATGTTTCTATCTCTCCTCTTCCTCTCTGAAATCCTATATAATAAAATCCTAATATGCAAATCCACTGAACAGCTGAACACTATGATGTGCACTGACCACCAGGGGGCATATGCACAATGCAGGAGCTGCACCTGGTAGTCAGTGCACTTCCACAGGGGGAACACTGCTCAGCCACAAGCCAGGCTCATCGCTAGCCAGCCCTCCCCCACCCCTGCTGCAGGCAGACAGTAAGGAGTGAGGAGTCCTGGACTGTTAGAGGGTGCAAGCCAGGTTGAGGGACACTACACCCCCCCCCCCCCCCAGTGCACAAATTTCATGCACCAGGCCCCTAGTAAAAAATAAGTTAAATAAATAAATAAATAAAGCAGAGTGGCCTTCCAGGCCAGCCCTCTAGGGCAACAGTTGCCAACTGATGGTCTGTGGGCTGCTGGTGGTCCGTGAGGTCCGAAAGTTTGGCGATCCCTGCTTTAGGGGACATGTAGAATCATATAATAGTTCATAGAAAGGAGCAACTGGACTACAGTTCCCTGCCTTTGTAGGTTGGGAGAACACAGAATAGTGGGATGGCTCTGCAGGAAAATGTGCATACACACACATTCATATAACATCAGGGTGACTACAAACCTGAACCTTGGCTATGGACCTTCCCAGATACCAAGCTGGGAACCCTGGAGATGGGAAACCAGCCTGCATGGTGTTAAGGACAGCTGAGCTGTGGCCAGACTGCTGGATGGAGACCCTGTTCAGTCACTGACTTGTGAGCCGGGATAAGTGGCCTCATCCTTTTTTTATCCCCATTTTCTCAACTCTAACAGGTATAAATAATAATAATACCTTCCTGGGGTGGTTGGTAAAATACATGAATTAATATAAATGAAGAGGGTAAGCCCTTAAGTAATGCTGCCAGGCTGTTGTTATTAACAGTGTGTTGTTAGCAAAAACGTCTAGACCACAAAGTGAAGAAAAAGTAATGCTTGAGGTAGTCCCCTTATTGCATTGTTTCTGGTTAGGCTAAAGTAAATTAATAAAAGGCTAATATACAAATTGTCCCCTCAACTGGGAGCTCAACCAGGGGGCAGGGCTGGGCAGCCAATCGCCTGCAGCCCCCCCCCCCCCCCCCCCCCCCCCCCCCCCCCCCTCCCGCCTACTGGCCCTGCCCACGACCTGCCAGATGGCTGGATCCCACGTGTACACAAAATCGTGCACCAGGCCTCTAGTTTTTAAGATGAATATTCAACTTAAATTTTTTTTTTAATTGTAAGATAGAAAAGTTCGTAAGACACAACTATCACAAATAAAGACAAAGCAAACACCCACATATATACCAACAGATCGTATAGATACTACCAGCTCACAGAAACCTGAGTGTTCCTTTCACATCACTCCCTGCCTCAATTTTCTAGAATCTACAAACTAATTTCTTTTAAGTTTTACTGTGTGTATGTCCAACCTTAAACAATATAGTTCTGTCTTTTAAAAAATTTATTTTAGCCGAAACCAGTTTGGCTCCAACAATAGGACCACAGGGAGGAGGAACTCGGCAGAAGGAGTCATGCTGGTTGTTAATACACCATGTAATCACGAACAACAGAGGCTTTCTCACTCTCAGGTCAAGTGGGGCCCGAGGGGGCCACAGGGCACAAGAGCTGGGGATCACACCAGGAAAGTTCCTAAGACACAACCATCACAAAGACAAACACACAACCACTGCTGGATCCCATAGAGGCTACCAGCTCTCAGTTCTGAGTAGCACTGTCCCCGAGTTGCAACACTTCCCAGGGAACATGACACCCAGGGACAGCTCCTCGTAAGCACACTGCTGAGTCAAAGCCAAGGGAGCTCGCCTGTCTACCTTCAGGTGCCCGAGGTTTGATTCACTCGGCCACATGACCCACTGTTATGCTATTACTGGTACAAAGGAAGTACAGGGCTGACCACTCCTCGCCCTACACCCATAAACTGGATGCAGTGAGCTCACTACTCAGCAAAACTTCCCGCTTCTCTACTATAACTGTTTCTACCCTTCTCTGTCCCCAACAAATCAAACAAAACACTAGCTTTTGAATCTACTGCTTTAGTTTCTTTAGGTTTGCTCAAGAAGTATATGCACCTGTCAAATTCACACACACCTAGAACTGAAGTGGAGTGGCAAGCAGCTCTAGCCCTGGTTCTGCTTGATTTTATTTGTCTGAAATAATGACTCCTATGTCTAGCCTCACAAATCTTTAAAGATAGAATAGAGCCTTCCTTTCCCTCATGGATAACTAGCTTCTTAGGTAACTAGCGCTGTATGATCACGCAACTGGACAATTTATTAGCCAAGGAAAACAATGTTCTAAGATACTCTCCCACTGTAGCCACTAGAATGTGGGATAACAGGTGTGTGCTAGACCAAGTCAGCCTTTTTTAAGTTTCAATCCCACCAACAAGCTGATTAAAAAATATCCTTCCTTCCTGCCCTGGCCTAGTGGCTCACTTGGTTGTTCTGTGCACCAAAAGGTTGCAGGTTCGATCCCAGTCAGGGTGTGAATGAGGGGCAATTAATTAATTAATGTTTCTCTCTCACATCAATATTTCATTCTCTTCCTAAAAATCAATAAAAACATATTTGGGTGAGGATTAAAAAGCAAACAGCCCTAGACGGTTTGCTCTGTGATTACAGGATCAGACCAGAGGGTCTCAGGTTCAATTCCCAGTCAAGGGCACGTACCTCGGTTGCAGGTTTGATCCCCAGCCCCGTTCAGGGTGTATACAGGAGGCAACCAGTCAAATGTGTCTCTCACATCAATGTTTCTTTCTCTCTCTCTCTCTTTCTCCCTCTCCCTCTCTCCTCTCCCTCCCTTACTCCCTTCTTCTCCCCTCATTCTTTCTCCCTGGGGATTGAGCCCGCAACCCAGGCACATGCCCTGACAAGGAATAGAACTGACGACCTCTAGGTGCATGGGACAACACTCAACCAACTGAGCCACACTGACCAGGGCAAGAAAAATGTCTAAATGTGTGATCTGTCCACAATTTCAGGAATCTCAAGGAGTCCATGGTACAATTGGGAAAGCCTCCCTGCCGGAGCCAGTATTCTACCATCACCGTTTGCATTCTCAGTGGCTACACCCAGCCAATGTCTGCTGATATAGAGGGAAAATTCAAGAATGACTGAGCAACCCTTTCTCACATTCTAGAACTCTAATGGCAATGGATAACCTATACCAGAAGACATGTGAAAGGATTAATATATAAAAAAAGAAAATTTAATCAAAAGAGCAGCTTCATAAGAACAGGCAGAGGCCGAAGGAACCGTGAGTCACAAAAGCCTATACCTGGGGGGTTGGTCCTCTTGGGCATGTTCTGAGGTTCTTGCGTTGGTCCGAAAATATTCGATGCCATCCTGTTGGGTCGACTTGAAGGAACAACTTCTTCTGGACTTCCAAAAAGATCACTCGATGCTCCTCCGGGGGGCTGCATGCCCCTGCAAGCACAGAGCAAGCATGAGAGATGGAGACTGACCTGGACTTCAATGTCCATGATTAACGTTTATGGAAAAATTATACACCGCAACATACCAAACTGGCATGGCTAGTTTACAGATGGCCATATGGCAGACTTCCTCAACTGCCCTTAAGGTTTCCTTAAAAGTTTTCTCTGTATGTCTTGATTATGCCAAAAACCCACTTGAAATGTGTATATTTTAAAAATTATTCCTGGGACTTCTTAGTGAAGTTTCCCTAAAACAGGCAAATTGAACTACATTCAGTAGAACTTAATACAAATTTTAATTAGTACACAGTAAATACATTCAGTGGTGTTTAATATGGTAGCTTACATTTGCCAAATGCTTAGTATATGCCAGCTATTGTTCCAAAGACCTTACACACAGCCCTCTAAGGCAGGCATTGTTTTCACAGACCATGCATCTGAGATAGAGAGAAATCACAAGATAGATCACACAAGGAGTGGCAGAGCCAGGACCCAAGACCAGGCGGACTGCATCTGGAGCTCAGACTATGCCCGAATGCCTCTTAGAGAGCTCCAAGAAAAAATGAGGGGGAGCTAACATTTAACCACAGATCAAGTCTGACCAAAGAGTTGGGTCTTCAGAAGGGCAGCCACTGGCCACTGTGGCTAGTGAGCACCTGGATGTGGAAGTAAGGACGTAAGTGTACTTAACTAGACTATACACCAGATTTCAAAGACAAAAAGGCAAAATATCTCTTTAATCTTGTCACTTATATAGATCACAGGTTGAAATAGTGTTTTGCATAGGTTGAATTATGTCTATTAAAATTAATTTTTCCCGATTTTTTTTCCTTTAAAAAATGTGGCTATTAGAACATTTAAAATTCCTTATTAGTTTACATTTTTTTATTGGAAAGTGTCAAGTTAGACTATGGGGAGTGCCACCAACATCAATCCAGGTGAGTCCTACGAATCTACACCAAGATAATCACCTCTGGTCCTCCAGTCCAGTAAAACCAGTGAAATGTTGAACATTGGATATCAGAGAACACACCTGCAAGCACCACTGTTCATTTCAGATCAACACATATGCACCATGTCATCTCTAAAACATCAGTGGCTGCCCTAGTTGGTTTGGCTCAGTGGATAGAGCGACGGCCTGCAGATTGAAGGGTACCAGACCCAGGTTCGATTCCAGTCAAAGGCACATGCCTGGGTTGTGGGCTCAATCCCCAGTAGGAGTGCAGGAGGCTGCCAATCAACAATTCTCTCTCATCACTGATGTTTCTTTCTCCCTCTCCCTTTCTCTCTGAAATCAATAAAAATAAAACACCTATGGTTGATTAGTTTTAATTCAAGATATTTTATTTCTGAGAGGAAAGAAGAAATGTCAATGAGAATCATTGATAGGCTGCCTGCTACATGCCCCACACAGGCATTGAGCCCACAACCTGGGCAGGTGTCCTCGAATGGGGACTGAGCTGTGACCTTCTGGTTCATAGGTTGACACTCAACCATTGAGCCATGCCAGTCAGGCTGGTTGATTTTTATTATTATTATTTTTTTAGAGTCTATTTAATTAAAGCTGGGGACAGTCAAACAAGGAAGGGCTTAGGACAGAAGACACAAAAGGAGAGAGACTAGACAGGCTGCTTTGGCTCATTGGAAACTCAGAGAAAAGGGGCCTGAAACAGGTTTAGGGGTGAGCCTGGGATGAGCACTGCTGCCCATTGCTCTCTGGGGTCCCTTAGCGTTTAGGAGACGCACGCCCGAGAGAAAAAAAAAGGTGCAGGTGTGTTTTCCAGAGGAATAGTGTACATGAGTGTTGGTTTTAATTTAACACCTACAAAGAATAATGGCATTCCCACTGTTCAGCCAACAATCGCAGTATCTACCTGGAGTATCCCTCTTGGGAGGATTTTTTTTATTGTTTGAAGTATTACAAATAGTAGTATATGTCTCCTTTTCCCCCCATTGACCTCCCTCCCGGCATCCCCCCACCTCCCGGCACATGCCCTCACCTTCCTGGTGTCTTATGTCCATTGGTTATGCTTATGTGCTTGTGTACAAGTCCTTTGGCTGATCACTTACGCCATCTTGGGAGGTTTTAAAGTGAACATTTCAGAAGAGGAAGATCAGGACTTTGAGTCACTGTCGCAATAACTGAAGAATTATATTTTCACAAAGCTCTGCCCGGATACCCCAAGTTTGTCTACTTTCACAAAGCAGCAATACAGTGAATTCATAGCATCTTTTTAGAACCCCTAGAAAGACTTTTTAAAGGCATCTTATAGGAAAAAGAGGCCTACTGAAATTGAGTTTTAAACTGGTGAGTGGTCCAGGCTCTTTCACTAGTCCTAAGCAACACCATTTAGAAATAGATGAAATTATGGAGCTCAACACCACATGAATGCTCTGATTCGAGGTTAGGCCTCACTGGAAACCTACGTAAACACGGTCAAAGATTTAGTTCACAAAAATAGGGTATTTCAATGTTTCCTCAAAAGAGCTAGAATGGGAGCTAATCATTCACTGTAACTTAAAGTGAACAGTTCTGAGATTCCATGGCTGTAAAGCAGGACTGCAAAAAGCACTCGCCTGCTCTACAGAGGGCAGACATGCCAGCCCCGGCCCGGGGGCAGCAGGCCAGCTCTACAGCACAGAAGCCAAGAGTGCAACTGGCAGCCTTCTATGTGGTGCCCATAGTTCCTGTCTGCTTTATGGAGGGCAAAGGGGGGTACCTGGTCAGCAGTTAGCATTTCCTTAAGGATTAATGAAGGGGAAAAAAATTCACTTTGGGGGGATTTTTTTTTAAACTAACCAATAAGTGGACTTCAAAGACTTAACAGGACTGATCATGCACTTTGTTGGTGGAAACGGTGAGGCCATGTGACCCCTGAATGCATTTATAAGTCACTGAGCCCAGTTCACAATGATATTCTTCATATTTTTCTTGGCTAGCTATAGCAGGTACAACATGGTTTGGGTCTTCACAGCCATCTCTTTGAAAAAGGGACTAGAGACCTGTAATCTTCAGAACGAAATTGAATTTAACTCCGTCTCATGCTGGCATCAGTTAAAATTCTCATTTTACTAACTTATTTGAAACATGGTTCTTCTTTCAAACCATAAAGGTCCCAGAAACTTGTCAGATCAGAGTCTGGGTAGACTCATCTTGATTCAAAGCTCTCAGGACGCTTTCTTGACTCTCACATTCTACATTCTTGGATCTCCCCCTCTCACCCTTGCTTCATTCAGTTCAACTCATGTCCACTGAGCACCTATTGCTGGCAAGCCTGTGGCAGACACTGCAGATAGAAAGATGAGTGAGAGCAAGTCCTTGGCCCAGAGAAACTCCAGGTTTGCTGGGAAAATGGAGCTGTGCAGAGGCAGTTTCAGTGCCCTGTGAGCGATGCCACTGAAGCACCGAGTGCTAGTGTAACTCCAAAGGCATCCTTGGAGAGGCCCAAACTGAGTCTGCGATCTCCTTGAGGAAAGAGTCTTTGGGGCACAGGTCAGAAACCACAGCTCTGCTCGAAATGATGAAATGTTAAATTGGGGTGGTGGAAATACAGTGTTTATTCTATTACTCTCTGTACTTTTGTGAATTTCATTTTATTTTGAAAACAAGTGAAGAAAGACTAGTGGTGCCAATGATACCACAGCAGATTCCTGTGCATAACAGCCAAGCTCCCTGAGAAGAGCCAGCAATTATCTCCATCACAAAGGCAGGTACACAGCCTCCTGGGGCAGTTAGACCAATAGCCAGGCTGCCCCTACAGGGTCTCAAATCAATGGGGCCAAGAGGTAAATAGACATTTCAATAAAAACAACCCACAAGGGCTCAATGTGGCTCAACCAGCTGAACTGTTTTCACTATGACACTAGGTTTGGGGGAGGGGGTGGGAATTCTAGTGCTCGAAGACATTTTGGGGATGAAACCACATGGCGGGCTGCCTCCCAGTTACTTCTTCATTTTGTAATGTCCTTTCAATATAAGTCAACAAAGATTTTCAAAATACAAGAGGAACTCAGGGGCATGTGACAGGAAGAGAAAACAGGCAGTTCCGGGACTATGGATAGCATGAGCAGAGACCTTCCATCTTGTCCCTGTGTCATAACTTTTGGAGCTTGGTGAAAAGTAGTGAAACAGACTTGCATTAAATTCCTTACAATTATACACCTTATAGCTTAAAGGAAAGACCTTAGATTAATGATGGCTAAAGGAAAATACTTTCATAGTTCAAAATCCCTTTAACACAAAATCATCCCGCATCAAGAATACAGAGATGCAGGTCTGAGAGAGGAAAACTGGCTGGGTGATCAATCCTACACCACCACTTGGTTCCCTCCCGACAGAGCCAATTAAAGTGTGAATCCTACAACGCTGTAGTTCCCTGGTCGGCAAACTACAGCTCTCAAGCCACACATGGCTCTTTGGCCCCTTGAGTGTGGCTCTTCCACAAAATACCATGGCCCGGGCAAGACTACTTTGAAGAAGTGGTGTTAGAAGAAGTTTAAGTTTAAAAAATCTGGCTCTCAAAAGAAATTTCAAATGGTTGTACTGTTGATATTTGGTTCTGTTGACTAATGAGTTTGCCGATCACTGCACTAGTTAATCAATTCCTTTAAGAAGGGGTCAATGCAAAGCTTCCAACAGATCCCAAGCAGGGCTTCCAATTACATGTAATCATCCAATTAAGACTTCTTTTCCTTCTTCAATGCCCTGAAAGGAAGACTTTTGTCTTTCTTCATAACGTTCTCTCCAAAAATGAATCTCCCAAAGTGTGGAGTGCTCCCTTAGAGCACCAGCTCTGAGCTAACGTCTGTCGCTCAAAGTCAGCATTCTGTCAGTGACTCATGGCGTTTTCTCCTTAGCCAGCATTTCCTGGGCATCCAGCGTCAGGCAGCGTAAACAGGGAGGGGATGTACTCCATGAACACAACTGGGAAAGTGCTGGGGAGAAGCTGGTGTGGGTGGGGCAGAACAGCAGCCACCAGGCACCAGGACCCTGATTCACCCTGAGCACTCACTCCGGAGAAATTTCTGGCTCCTTATCCTTATAGAGTTAGATGCATTGTTCCATGGATTAATGACCACTTACTTCGTTAGGTGTACTGAATACTGACCTAACGCCCCCAAGTTTACAGTCTTTTATTTAGTACCTAGTCTATACAGTATTTATCTTAACGGTGTACACACACACACACTCCCTTCTACTCTGATGGGAAGGCTGGGTCCCTGAAGAGCTCACAGTAAAGAAAACTCTTGGGCATCTGAAGACCCAAACTCCACAATGTAAGCTGGCTCCCCAGTGGCATGACAGACCTCGCCAGCTCTGACAACTCTAATTTATCTGACTTCCCATGCACAGAGCGCTGTGACTTGAAAGCGTGCTGCCCTGGCCACTGCGGTTCATTCAGCTGGGAGAGGTCTAATGCAAAGGTTGCCGGTTCCATTCCAGGTCAGGGTCCAGGCCCAGGTTCCTGGCTTGATCCCGGATAGGGGGTTGTACTTTGCTCTCACATGGATGCTTCTCTCTTTCTCCCCTAATTCTCTAAAAAAAAAAAAAAAAAAAAAAAAATCTCTAAAAAAGAACGCGTGCTGCGGTGTATTCCTGAATGTGGCCGCCCAGCCGAGACCTGCAATGGGAATCTCCGTTTCTATTAACTTGTAGTCCTGCCTAGTTCATCAACAAAGCAGGGAGGGCAGTGCCCGGCCTACCTCCCAGCGCTGCAGGATTAAAAGGCACCGCTCCGGGATTAAGGGAGGGCCCCACCTGACCCAGAGGCAGGCTCCGGGATTAGGGCGGGCTCCACCTGGCTCCCCGGCTGCGGCAGTAAGGAAGGGTCCGCCGGGCTGCCGGGTTCGGAGTGAGCTCCACCTGGTCCCACAGGGCTGCGGTGTCTGGGGAGGCTTTCAGGACGGTGCCCTTCCCCAGAGGCCCGCCCACCCGCCACCGGGCTCCCGCACGGGCACCAGGAGGGCGCCCCGCAGCCCGGCACACACCCGCCTAGTCCCGACGCACGGAACTGCCCACCGGAAGCAGCAGGCCACTCTGCCGGCATCTTTTCGGGGCGCTACAAACGGAACATGTGCGAAGGAGCCCCGCAGGCCCTCAGCCCAGCCGCTGGCGGACCCGGGAGCACGTCCGCGTGTGAGCCCATCTCTCCGATGCGGAAGCGGAGACCGAGGTTTTGTGAGATCACCCGCAGGCCTCCCCGCCGGCCGCGCCGCCCCCTCGCCCTCGCCCACACCGCGCCCGCGCCGTACCTGGAGCTGGCTCGGCCGCCCTCGCTCTCCGGCACATGGAACATGTCGCCCGCTGCTCGATGCCCGGTCGACTGCCGCGTCGCGGTTCCCGCCCGGCAACGCGCAGCTTAGAGGTTCACCAGCCCGCGCTTAAAGGACGACGCTGATGCCACTCATGCCGCCACACCCTATCCCGGCGCGCGGCCCCGCCCCCTCCCCGGACGCGAGGGCGTGTGGAGGGACGCGCTCGCAGCCGATTGGTGAGAGCAGGTGCCGCTGACGGCGTCGGGCGTCAGGATTGGGCAACAGGCCGGCAAAAGGCAGGCTGCTTTCCGAGGTGGGCGGGGTCAGGACGTAATCCGTGCCACTAGCGGCCACGCCAGAGGCCCCTCCCTCTCTCCGCGGGAACCTCTTCCTGGGCGGGAGCCGGAGTGACCTAACCTGCTGGAGTGGGAGGAACAGGGTAAAGTCTATACTTTTCTTAGGCGGCAACCGCTGCCCCAAGGCCTCTGACCCGCTGCTTTGGGATTTTGCAAACCGGTCAGAGACATCCGCTAGTTGACAAAAGGGCGCTAATCAGAATTATGTGTTCAGGGATTCAGCAGTTCCTGTCCTGATCAGTCCTAGGGGGTGGAAAGGCCTCATAGAAAGATTTCCTCAGAAATAAGAGAGCAAGGGGTAAGTTGCGCCAGTTCCCTATTTGTGACTCAAAAGAACAAAACACACAACTGGGAGTGTTCTGTTGCTAAATTACACCTCAGACAGCTCATCTATTCTGAGATATCACCCAATGAAAAGCACTTGAGCTTTTTTGTTGTTAATCTTCACCCAAGGATATTTTCCCATTGATTTTGAGAGTGGAAGGGAGGGGGAGAGACAGAAACATGGATGTGAGAGGCATAGATTGGTTGTTTCCCACACGTGCCCAGACTTGGGCAGGGGTTTGAGCCTGCAACGCAGTTATGTGATTTGACTGGAATTTAATCCCGGACCTTCAGTCTGAGGGCTGACCCTCTATCCACTGAGCCAAACCGGTTGAGTTTTTTTTTAAAAATATATTTTATTGATTTTACAGAGAAGAAGGGAAAGCGATAGAGAGCTAGAAATGTCCACGAGAGAGAAACATCAACCAGCTGCCTCTTGCACACCCCCTACCGGGGATGTGCCCACAACCAATGTGCATGCCCTTGACCGGAATCGAACCTGGTTTTGGCTTTTTTTTGTTTTGTTTTTTTAAATCCACACCAGTGTACATGCTTTTATATATATATATATATATCAACATGAGAGAGAAACATTTATCAGTTCCCCTAAGGATGAGGTGGGATAGAACCTGAAACCCAGGTATGTGCCTGGGTCAGGAATTGAACCTGCAGCCTTTCAGTGCAAAGGACAATGTGTAACCAACTTGCACTGTTTCTAGCCCTAGCTGGTTTGGCTCAATGGATAGAGTGTTGGCCTGTGGACTTAAGGGTCCAAGGTTTGATTCCGGCCAAGGGCCCATCCCCAATAGGGGTGGAGCAGGAGGTAACCAATCAATGATTCTCTTATCACTGATGTTTCTATCTCTCCCTTCCTCTCTGAAATCAATAAAGAAGTCTTTAAAAAAAAAAAAGTTAATACTTAAGAAAAAGGCAGAAACAATAATTATTAGATCAAGTATTAGTATGTATTTATGCACAATAATAAAAACAGATTTACAAGTTAAACTGGAAATTTAAACATAAGAAGTTTAACAGCTTTTGTTTATTATATTAAATAACCAAAACACCTTTTATTCCCAAAATTGGTAAAGAATAAATAATGTAATTTACAATATGGTACAAAAGTAATCAGGAAGGACAGGCATTCCGCTTTATACATACACTGTATATGTATATTTATTATCTATTAAACAAATTCACATCTCAAACAAGCCGAAAACCTTAGATGATATGGCTTAACGATTATTAAAAGAAACAGCAGGAAGTTCTGCTGCCTAGACAAGAAGCTCTGGAGCCGGTTATCCTGTTACAGAATGCAGGTACAGGTTGCTGTAGTGCTTCCAAGACTGAACTGACTTAACATGACTTACATATTACTGTGGGGTTAGGGGAGAGATTTGACAGTCAGGAAAGGTTTGCTGTGGTTTCTTTCTTTCCCCCCTAAGACAAAGTGCACTATTTCCTCACAAATGCATGTGATAGGTCTCAAAGTTTTCAACAACAAAAACCCACAGCAGCTGCTGTTCTCGTCCACTTATTTCCAGTGTTTCTATTCCATAACTTTTCTCTGCACAGGTTTGGATTGGATGGTAAAAAAGCTATTACACTGAAAAGGAAACCCGTCAGTAGTGACACAGGATGATAGTGACACAGAAAGAGCGGGACTCTGAGGCTGAGAACCCAGATGTAGGAAAGCAAGTAGATCAACTTATGAAATGTTTCCAATTATCCCCGCTCCCAGAGCAAGTGCTCTACACCTAGAAGATACAGAGAAATAAAAAATGTGATTTAAACCTCAGGTGGAACCATAAACTTCGATCTGCCCCTGCATTTCCTAAAGAAGAAAATGCTACCCACTGGATAGTCACAATAAGAATTAAGGCTACAACACCAACTCCGTTGAGACCAGACACAATCTCAGTCTTTATAAAAGATGAATCAGCAAAAAGATGCCAGGCATTAGAGTGACCATGGAAATAGGTCTCAGAAACTGATCGATTCTTAATTATAACATGCTCAAATGCACAAGGAAGCCACAGGTGCATACTGAGACTGTCAACTTCCACTGGAAAGGCAGAGAAAGATGCAGCAGGTGGGAAGCTTGGGTCTTTTGAAAATTCCACCCTTTAACAATTAGTTTGTGTGTGTGTTCTTCACCTTGCTTCTCATATCTGTTTTGAGTTGAAAAGGATTTCACTTAAAAAACATCTCCTACAGGTCAACAGAGCTTTTCTTCCGCATCCAACCATACAACATACCCACCATCCCTTAACTTGCCAATTTCTAAATTTAAGTAAACAGGAAAGCTTTGAGTCTCACACCTGGGTTATGCCTGGAGAACTGGCTTGTCACATACACACTTCTCTGGTTGCTAGGGAAGCAGCAGAATTCTCTGGAATTTTGTGAGTTTTATTAGAGGTGAGAAGAGTCAGTCTACTTTCCTCCCTAGCCCACTTCCCCACTGAATGACACTGGCCAGTCAGGTACTCCCAAATGGATTCTACGCCAGAAGCCCAGGCAGGGGCTGCAGCTAATAGCTACAAAAGCTGATCCAAGTCTCCAGAGTTTTTCTCCTTTTAGATGTCACTGGATGACAGGTGCCAGCCTACCAACTAAACTGCCTTGAGGTGACCCTGATGAACAAGCAACTCAGGATCCTTACTGTCTCTGGCACAGTAGACGCTGCCATTGGGCATCACATACAGCTCTAATGTTACTTGGGGTTCTGGTCCCAGACAGGTGAGGAGTATGAGGAAGCTAGTCATGGCCTAAACTTGGCATGGTCCATTATCCTACTGCAGACCTAACACAGTCAGATGCCCAGAGAGTGAGAGAGAGATTGATCCTGATATCGTTCAACTCAATATAAGGTGCTAATTTCAGAAAGCTGATATATTGACCACAAAACACAAGTAGCTTAAAAATACTCTGGTTCAATGCTGTCTATATCTCTTAATAAGGTGGTAGTATATCCCTTTCTTTCATATCTCCAGAGCTTTGAGACTTTTCCTAAGAGCTTAGAAGGCTTTTTTTTTTTTTTTTTTTTTGGTGATGTTGGTGCCTAGAACCAGATCTAAAAGGAAGCCACATTAGAGGCAAAAGCTTCAGAAAGAATTGAAACAAAGAAAAGAAGCTATTGCCTAAAAGCCAACTGTCTTGTTTCCTCCATGCCTGGGAGCAAAAGGGCTGCAAACAGCTGGTGAGACAATGGGGTCAAGAATGTCCACTGTTCTTGTGGCTGGTGCGCGCGCACGCGCGCACACACACACACACACACACACACACACACACACACACACACACGACCTTTCCTCTCCTTTCCGCACAGGCTGCTCTCTCATTGTGGAGAAGACTCTGGAGAAGACCAGGACTGCCTTGCTCCTGCCATTGTGCAGGATCAAGAGCTGCCATATTCCACCAGTCAGGAGAAGAGGAATGATGAGCAACAGAAACGAAGACTGGTTCAGGTGGATGATCCTGTCTGTTGGGGTGGGTGAAGCAGGAGGTGGGATGGTGGCTCAGGAATTACTAGTCCAACACAAGAGCACTGGCTTCTGGCCTCATAATGTGGCTGAAGAGTGAATTAAGTATTGAGTTTCCCAAGGCTGAGCAAACACGGGAGCCTTGTTAGCTCCATTATGGGGAAGAACTGGACACTGGACTACTTGCAGTGGTGACAACTGGTCGCCCCAGGAGGCTCACTGCGTACAGTACAGGGATGTGGTAGTGCTTCCACTGCATCAGGATGTATGATCCTTGTCTGCATTCCCTGAACATGAAGGAGCAAAGTAAGAGACCACTGGGCAAAAGGAGACATGGGGGATTAAACCTGCAGATCACAGTGTGCTCTGCGCTGAGCCAATGAAAGGAAGAGAAGACTGAAAAAAAGAAATTCCCCGGCAAAGTACATTTGTCTCAGATGCTAAAGAGTAACACATCAGAAATTCAAGGACTCTTCAGGTAAGTCTTAACTGTGGTTAAGCAAGTGCTTAGGATTGTCCCAATAAAGAGAAGTAGCATTATAGATCACCTAAGAATAAACTTGTAGATGGATGCAAGAAGGAAACCAACTAAACTGGTTTACCTTCTCATTGTCTAATTCTTAAAACACAAGAAAAACATTCTCCAACCAGCTTAGCAGGATTCTTTTCTGAAGTCCATATAACCTGGACAAGACATGATTTTCCCCCCCTGTCCTGTTCAGAAAACACATCTAGATAGGAAAGCACCAGGCAAGGATCAGTATTTCTGAGGTGATGGCTCCAGTCATGCTGTCCTGGAACCGTTCTGCTGTCCTGTGATCAGTGTCCCCTGTCCTAGGGTACAGATACCACCAGGCAAAGCCCAGGACAGACGCAGCGGTCCCGTCTCCCCCTCCCATCATCACTCTGCAGAGAAGCAGAGTGTGGTACAGGGTTGGCAGGAAGAATGCAGCCGTGACCTGGAGCCTCCTATAGAGAGCAGGAGATTACAGCTCCCCAGGGCACAAGGACTCGGCCGGGGGACACTCCCCTTCCCCTTTAGCTTCCAGAAAGGAAACCCACTAAACTGTCCAACACAACCACCAAGGCCGATGCACGGGCAGAAATGGGGTCATTACACAGACCCCAATGTGAGATCCCACGACTGGCGAAGAATGGCTCCAATGCCGGTGATGTATGACACTCCAGGACTCGTCCTCATTTCTCGGGCCACTACTGCCCTCTCCCCGTTGGGATATAGCTTCCAGCATTTTGTGTATTCTGGGGTGCAGAGGTGTCTCTATTCTGACCATCTTCTGGGGGTCCTGGGCTTGATTTGTATTTTCTCTACACCTATCACAGTTGAGGACTGGACCACCAGCCCTGTAAGCTCTCCTTTGATGCCTCCAGGACGCCCCCACCGCGAGGCACGTTGTATGTTCACTGGGATAGGTCACTGACAGGGGGGCCACTTCCACTGCCATCAAACAGAACCTCTCGGCGGCTGGGCTCGGCAATGGACAGCTCCTGGGCCAAGTCGTTGAATCGAGATATATAATCAACGCTGTTTTCATTCATCATGCACACCAGCTGGGAATCCACGACCTGTGGGCAGAGGACACAAGGTAAGACCACATCAGCTGGTGGTGGCCTGCCACCTAGACTGGAGGAGACTCGCCACCATCAGGACTTCCAGGAGAAGGTGAATGAACTTGGGTCTCTCTACCGTGAGGATTGGAATCTCCCATCGACTTGCCATGTAATGGTGGCCTAGTCCTCTGGGAAGATTCTCAGAATCGCCCATTGTTTTGAACTCTCACTGTTTTGACAAGTGTGCAGGAGAGCCTACTGTGAGCCTCGCACAGCTGGTTGCCGGGAGCAGAGCAGTGCTTCCCTGTATATGAGATCTGTCAGGGAAGACAGTCAAACAAACAGGCCAGCAGCAGAGTGGAAAGCAGAAACTGCGGGGTGGCCTGTAGGAGACTCAAGAGGAGAAAGGGGACAGAGTTTGCATGGAGAAAACGGAAGCACATTCCTATTAGAAGAAACAGCAAGTGCAAAGGCCCTTCCAGAAACAAGAAAGCTGGTGGATGTGACCGTAAGCACAACCGCTGAATGAGAGAGAGACGGTGTACAGCGGGGCCTTGGGTACTGGATTTTTTTTCTGTGGACAAAAACATGGAACATTCTGCCGTACAGTCTTCAGGATTTACTGTCTTCCTCCTTTGCTGGAGTGAAAGCCGCATGAGGTAGGGCCTTTGCTTCATTCACTCAGTTCCTGCAGCAGTGCCTGGCGCACCATGAACAAATTGCATGATATAATGAGATAATAAGCCTTGGAAAATTCTGAGTAGAGCCTGAACCGAATTTTAAATCTTTTATTGTGAGAAATATAAAACAAATTTAAATTTGTTTTCAAAAAGTAGAGCAAACCCTGGCAGTTTGGCCCAGAGGTTGGAGGGTTGGCCTGTGGACCAAAGGGTCTTAGGTTTGATTCCCTGTCAGGACACACACCTCGGTTGTGGATTCAATACCCCTCCCCAACTGGGTTACATGCGGGAGGCAATGAATTGATGTATCTCGCTCACATCGTTCTTCCCCTCCCCCCAAGCCAACACCCTCCCTTCTGCTCTGTCTGGAAAAAAATATCCTCAGGTGAGGATTTAAAAAAGAAGGAAAAAAGTAGAATAGCGACTGTTTTCTCCCCACATATCCATCACCCGCTTCATCAATCTATGGCCCATCTAGGCCCACATCTCCCACCCATTCTTTGCTCCCATCACTTTTGTTCAAATCCCAACATCAGATCATTTCAGCCAAACATTTCAGAATGCACTTCTAGATGATAAGGACTATCAGTATCTAAAAAACACACTCATGTTTTTTGAGTTGGAGAGTGCTTGGTCAGATCTTTGTGTTAAACAACTGCTATTTCTGGAGGTAGATATTTTACTAGCTATGGATTTAGTTCATAAATAGTACCCGTCTTTGTTCTGTGCTGCTCACCTTTGTGTGCAACAGGCCAGCCAGAGATCTTGTTAGAAATGCAGGTTCTGGTTCTCTGGCCCTGGGGTGGGCCCGAGAGTCTGCCTTCTAACAAGTGCAAGGTGTTCTGCAGTGGGTCCAGGTGTGTCGTTTTGGGATGTTTGTGCAGTGGCCCCTTCCGCAGGAGCCAGGGCTTATAAACAATGTCCACACAGACACAGAAGGGAAAGAGACCAGCCTTGTGTGGACATTACAGTCACAGGCTGTTCTCTCAACAAAGGTTCTATGGCCACAGAAACGCTCATTGAGGGGAGGAAATGTACTATATTACTCTGTTTAGTTTGTATTTGGGTGAAATTTCCATTCATGCTACGGGCTGGCTTAGAATCCTCCAAAAAGCCTTCCCACAAGCTCCTCAGATATTAAAACTCACATCAGGATACTGAGAGCTGAGGAGGTCATGGGACACCACAAGAATCAATATATATAAAAGGCTAATATGCTAAGTGCCGGACCCTCTGACTGATCGCTGTGATGCGCACTGATCACCAGGGGGCAGATGCTCAATGAAGGAGCTGCCAAGCTGCAGTGATTTGTCAGTGACAGTTCACGGGTGTTGCACCCTGAAACCAGAGTGTAGGGAGCCCAATTCCTCTCAGAGCCACGCAATTCCACCTTTGGCCATGGGTTATGTTGTTGCTGGGGCACTATTGGCCCCAAATCTGGTTTACTGCACACTTGTGTTTGTGTTCCAAACCCTATGACAGCAACTTTGCAGAGTGCCCTCTCACACTGACCATTCAGGGAATGTCAGAGAGCCAGTTTCAGCCTGTTCTCCATAGGCCAAGCCGAGGGACCCCACCTGCCAGAGGGACCCCACTCACTCCACAGATGCCCTTTGAGCCACAGCACCACCCTAGGTGCGGCCGGCCAGGGAGGACCATGGAGGTTGGCTCCAGGGCATGTCTAGCCCATGTTGCCCAGTCCTGTCCTGCCAGCCACCTTCCAATTAATGTCCTGTCAATGTGCATGAGTCTGTGCACTGGGCCACTAGTCTTACTATAAAATATAAAACCCCGAAGGACACCTACCAACAGCTCGGCATCTCAGGGAGCCAGGATTTGGGAATGCTGCTCCAGTACTTTAACAATAGGACCAAGCCCATGTGGCATTCTACATGTGGAATCTCTTCATTTTAAGCATATCCTCTGCCTAAATTATTCTTTCAGCACATGTTACTTCATACCTTGCCTTATAATTAAATGTACCTGTCTCTCCTCCTTCAATAAGTATACATCCTTGCAAGCCTTTCTTGCTCAAACAACACTCATGACATGTTGGATGGAGCCTGGGTGGCTACATGAGCAGATAACTTGGCCTAAGAAAGAGGGACAACTGCATCCTGGTCCAAAGATGAGGGCCACAAACTGAGCCTTGCCTGCACATCGAGGGTCTGCCATTGTGATTTTTGTTATCATCACCCTCACCGTGAGAGGAGCCTGAGGGAGTATCTGTGCCTTTCCTGCAGAACCCATTCTCCTGCTTGGGAGGCAGCAAAAGAAACGACACAGGGAGGGGCTGTTTGGAGGCCCTCTCCTGTCAGGTACCAACAGTGATGACAAAGTCACCTGCAAGTGCTCTTTACTTTTCTACCAACGGCATCAGCCCCGCACAGAGGCAGCATCGCCTGCCTGAGGTCAAGCGGCTGGTGTAGGCCACAGTGAGAGCCAATCCCTGCTTTGGTCGCCTGCAGAGCTCCCACAGTCAACCCTGAAATCCCAGCTTTTGACGCCTTCAGAGCTCAGCTATTACTTTGTTGTTTACCACTAGAATTTCCCTTCTCAGAAGCCAGAAACCTGGATGTACATGTGCTGGCCCCTGGTTTTAACATCTTGATGAAAAATTCTTAATAACAAACAGGTATGCTTGAGGGACTTGGCCACCTCTGGAATAAGGGCATAAGATTGTGTACTTACCTCTGCCACATCGGCCAGGGATCTGGACACAAACGAGTCTCTCGAGTTTCCATCTAGCAGGCTGGGGCCCAGCAGGGAGGTGCCACTGTGGGTCCCCACTGGAGTCGGCAGCATCTTTCGGCCTTTCTCTGAGATGAAGCTCGCTGCCAAGAGAAGGAGGATCAGCCCTGAGATGGCTTGGTCAGCTCCAGGTGAGGGAAGAATCCTGAGGACTGGAGATTCCCTCGCAAGGCCCATACAGACATTGATCTGCACGCGTGCACACAGTGCTTGGTGTGGAGCTGTAGCCAACCTGGCTTTTCTCAAATGAGAAGCCTTGGAGGGTCCTCAAAGCACATGCAAGTAGGCCTCATATTTTAGGGGCCCTCAGTGCTCCACTGTCCGGTCACCACTCCCACCTCCATGTAATGTGGTTTCCCATTTTTCACGATTTGTATTTGACTTTGCAGAGATCCGTACTGTTCTATGGACCTCTTCTAATAGGAAACACTCATCGGGTGCTGGCTCCCTGCATCACCCAGACCAGACCCACATTCTGGGCCATCAGGTGTGGCGTCCACACAAGGTACTGACCCTGTCCAACATGTGTACAGCACACCCCCTCTGGGGCTGCAGTCTCATGGCCAGTGCATGTACTGGCTGTGCTCTAAAGATGCAAAGCGCATGAATCCCAAACGTGTTCTGGAGCCCCTCTTACATAAGACACTGAGATCATCGTGTCTTTCCCTAACATCCCCTTCCCATCACACGAACGCCTGGTGCCCAACGAGGATGAACACATCCTGTGAAGGTGCCAAACTGGTCAGCATGTCACAAGACAGCACATGTACATCCAGGTTTCTGTCCACATCAGAATACTTTACTGAGAACAGAAAGAGGGAAGCCAATTTCTTCTACCCTGCCGATGGTGGGAAGAGCAGAGCTGGCCGGACTAGAGAAGAGCACAGGGAACTGTGTGGGGAGATGGACGTGGGCTACATCACAACTGGGCTGTGGGTTACAAGAATGTCATGTTTGCCAAAGCTCAGTGAACTGTACACTGGAGGTCTGGACATTCTCCCAAATGTAAGTGGTGTAGAAAAATAAACCCTGGAAAATAAGCACAGTCCTAGTGGGAGTTCTGCCAGATGGCAAGGACAATCCAGACTCTAGACCCCACCGAGTTCACCATGTGGAGCCCTGCTCGTCCCTGCTGGTCTGGGACAGAGACCTGAGCACCCCCCACAGACACTCACCAAACAAGCTGCCGAGGGACGAGTCCGTGGGGTCGCTGGGGCACCACTGGGGGTCATGGGTGGGGGAGGCAATCCAGTCTGGTTGGGGGCTGCTGGATGGCGAAGGAAGACTCTTGGAACTGTCACTGCCATTTAGTTTTGCTGGAGAAAGAGGAACTCCTTCACCTGTCAACCAAAATCCTGGGTCAGAGACGCCACATGGGGGTGAACAGCACTCTGCTTCTCCAACCTTCCACTAAGGCAGCGACTCAGCACAGCCGTGTGCCACTGACCTCTGGAGGTCCGGGATCCCCACAGATGATGAACAACACTGATCTGTGGAGGGGATCCCCTGCAGCGGGAACACATGCCCATCTTGGGGAACGACAATGGCCACAGCCATCACTAATGAGCCAGGCACTATGCCGAGAGCTTCACCTAAATCCCCTCATGGCTGCTTACTAAAGCCCTGTGAATCACATGCTATTCCCAGTTCACAAATGAGGGGCGACCTGCCCAGAGCCACTCACTACTAGCCTGTGAACTCAGTTTAAACTGAATCCATGGCCTGAATCACACCAGCAAGTGCCAACCACACCACTGCTACCAGGATACAAATCCAACCTCCTCCTCCAACTTGCAAAACCCAAAGGCATCCACCTAGATTCATGACTACCTAGGACAACGGCCCATCTAATCCTGTTGGTCTCAAGGCCATGAGCACACACAGCTGTTGGTCCTATTCGTACCTTGTTCACCGGTGCTGCCTCTGCCTCTGCTGGGCAAGGCCATGTAGGTGGCAGGTAAAGTGGGAGTGGCATGGGAACATACGGAGCAGGTTTGGCAAATGCTCATTGGGAGGTCAAGGACAAGCCTGCATCCCCTGTCCTAATGGGGAATTGGTTCCAAGAAGGGTGTGCAGGGGCAGCCTGTTCCTTACCGTATTGGCCAGAGCTGATGGCGATCTCAATGATGGAGTCGCTGATCTGAGTGGCAGGCTCTCCCTGCGAGAGCACGTCCTCAGGCGGGCCAGGCAGGGAGATGTCCAGAAGAGCAGACACGTTAGGCGGAGAGAGCCGAGTGCTGGAGCCCTCCGCCAAGGGCAACTGGGTGGAAAGCCCATTGTGCAGAGGAGCCTTGGATAGCTCAGTTAAGGAGAGGACAGGTGAACCCTGGTGGGAGATGGGCATTGTTCAGACACAATGGACCAATCAATCCCCTAATTCAGGAAAAATCAACCCCAAAAGATGATAACCAAGTGATGGGCAAGTGAACAGAGAGGCGATGACCATAGAAGACATCTCTTCCTTTTTAGTAAGAAACACATTAACTTCTCCAGAAACTACTCTGGGAATTCAGAGTTGGAAGGCCAGGTCAGTTGGGGGGGTTGGCCATGGCGCCCAGGGCATCTGGACCTGCTTTCCCTGCCAGCAAGACAGCTGGTAACACCCAGGCTTCTAGGCACTGCCAGTTGATGATCTCCCCTTAGCCCAAGAAACTGATCTTCCAGAACTGTGTCTGAATCAGCCAGCCACGTGGAAGAGAAGAAAGCTGAGATTGAAGATGTGTGCTTCTTCTATCTAGGGAACCGGAGGATAAAACCACTGGATAGCCGAGTGTCCTTATCACATCCTGGCTACTCACAGCAGGGAGGCTAGGTCTGCTGGCAAGACCATGAGCGTGGGGACTCAGCACTGGAGGGGGGCCTCTGGGGCAGCTATTTTGCTCAGCAGCCAACAGCACACTCTACCTGGAAACCTTCCGTCACTGGCTCCTGCTCAGGCCTCGAGGGGATGCTGATGAATGGATCGCTTGTACCCTACAAGAAAAGATCACCGTGAATGCCCAAGAGCCTTACAATCAGTATGCCAGAACTCTCTGCCCAATGGCTATTAAGCTCCTGAGACAAGAGCCATTCCACTCCCCGGCTTCCCCACAGCCACCATTACAGGAACCCATTGAGGTCTAGGTTGGAAATCTCTTCCTGTGAAGACAAGCAAGCTCACTTCTTCCAGAAAGTGGGCCAGGAAGTCATTGCACTTAAGATTATCAATTCAAAACCTCATAGTCCTCAGGCCGGGCTGGCCGTGAAACCAGAGCACTGAATCAGAGAGGAGTGGCAGTCAGGGGTCACTAGGCCCACTGTTGGTCCACTTGGTTAACCAAGCTGACATCTGAGAAGTCTGCCAACATAGAGATCTTGCTTATCTCAGTTCTGGATTCTCCAGTGTCACCCAGCAAACCAGTCCCCCCTCTCCCTCCTTCCATGGTTCCCCCGAGCCACGCAGAGCTCACGCTTGCCCCAGCCTCCCTGGTTGTGACTCCCCTCCAGTCCATCAGGCCCTTCCCACTCGTGAGGCAGAATTAGGGTCCAGCATGACATCAGCCCCATTATCTCAGCTCCCATCCCTCTAGAGAGTGACCAACCCATCCTGAAAGCTGGTGGTAACTCGAAGAAGCCCTTCTAAACACTCACCCCCACAGTGGGGAGGGGGTCTCCATTCTGGAGGGCGCCAGCGGAGTCCTGACCCGAAAGGGTAGCCGTTGCCTCATCTGAAGACAGTGGGGAGATGCCAGACAAACCCTCAGCATCCAAGACAGGGAGGGGGCTCCCGGGGATGATGCCGGCACTTGTAGCTGCTAAGTCGACAGCACCTGGCAACAGAAAAGACATTGCCAATGGGAGCTCTACTGACATCCCCAAACATACTCCACAGCGCGCACAGGAATAGCCTCTCCCTCTCGCCTCATTTCAAGGCAAGGGAAATAGATTTCCTGTTTTCTCTGGAGGATACTGAGAGCATGGTTTGGGGAAAGAAGAAAACAGAAACATCATTCACAAGCCTCACATGGTGTCTGTCACCATGCCAGTCACCAAAACTTACTGGCCAGGTGGCCTGTGGCCTGAGGAGGAAGGACCTTGGGCATGATCGGCCGAGACAGAGCCGCTTTGGTGAGGGAAGACTGGATGGGCCGGAATGAGCCTCTACCTGCGAGGACAAAAACAGAAGCAGCCGCGTCAAGACCACTCGCCCCAGGGCCCTCTGACTGCATGGCGGGTACTGCACAGGGTTGGCGTCACAGTCAGTTGGGACCATGGAAGCTGAGCCAAGGCGACACCACTGAACATCCCCAAAACATGCTAACTTGGGGAAGTCAGAGGTCAAACAGGCCCCCAATGAGGAGAAAGCTCTGGCACCCATGATGACAGCACCACTGTGGCCCATGGGGCTGCTGAAAAGGATGCTGTCAGCAGTGTCATCCTCTGGGGATGGCCCTTTAAGGGCGATGCACACAAAGTGAAGCTACAAGCTCCTCTGAAGCAGCAAGAGCATCAAATCTTGGACTAAGATTCTGCCTCTGCAATTGGGCTCTTTCCTACTAGGCTTTCTGTAGATGAAAAGAAGGCACGAGAAAAAGCAATAAACAGCTGAATGGGTCCAACAGTCAGTCAGTCTGAAATGTGAAAATCAAGACTGATTTAAAAGCTAAATCAGAGTTATGTTTCACTGAATAATTCTCACTGAAGTAAGAAAATTTACTTCAAAGAGCCAGGGCTCCCATTGACCTTAGAGACCTATCTATGAAGGCCCGAGTTGTACATTTACCCCCTAAAATGCCTGACAAAAAAACAACACACAAAAACCAAACAAACTCAAAACAAAATAACGAACATTATACAGAGAGGGTGGACTGAACTAAGAAAAGCATCCCTAACACGGCTGAGCCCAAGGAGGAAGCTGCTTGCGTTCCACCTGTCAGAGGGCCATGCCTGCCTGGCTCAGGGCCACACTCAGTCTCTGCTGACAGAATGGACAAAGGAATGCTGCAAATGCCACCCCAATAGTCATCAAAGCAAATGCCTGTCATCCCCAAAGATGAGGCCACATGAAAGTAAGGAGTGAAGAGCCAACCCCAGGAGACTCAGTGCTTACCGGTGATGGAGGAATTTGACATGATAGAGAAGGAGCAGACGTTGTGGGACTGGTTTTCAGAAGGTCTAGGAAGCAGGGTTCTCTGTGGAGGGAAACTGCCAATCAGGTACTAAAAATCACTCAGGAAACTAGCAAAGACTTACAAAGAGATATTCCAGACAACAGTGAGCTGAGTTTGTAAGCAGATGGTTCTGGGTTCTAGGACTAATAACACAAGAGGGCCTGGGACAGTCTGAGGATAGCTATGTCCCGTGGACCCAGCAAGCTCTGAACATTGGGTCCTCTCTGAAAAAAAAATCCCGAGGGATCATCCTTCCCCCAGGGAAACTGGAGGAATGTCAGAACCATCAACTGTTAATTCAGAATGTTCTTCTGGATTTGGATGGAATGCAACTAATTATATGTATATGTTTATAACTACTCTATGTGGACTATTAAAAAAAACACATTCACTTATTCTGGGCCTCCTCAAATTAGGGGTGTAAAAATAAAGTTACTGCCTATGACACTGACAGGCTAAAGGCCTGAGGACTTCCACCCCATCTCACAGTCCCAGTGCCCACTCCTCCCTGTCTGCCCAGGACTCCTATCTATACTAATAATATGCAAATTGTCTGGAACACCGTCACAGTAACAGTAATGACCTGCAGGCTGCCTGGGGTGACAAGGCTGGCGGGGTGGTGGTGGTGGTAAGTGAGGGACGACGAAATGACTGAACAGCAGGCTCTGGGGGGCAATAAGGCTGGCAGGGGGGGGGGCAGTTAAGGGCGATCAGACAGGCAGGCAGGTGAGCAGTTAGGAGCTAACGGTCCTGGATTTTTGAGAGGAATTGGGCCTAAACTGGCAGCAGGACATCCCCTAAGAAGTCCTGAATTGGAGAGGGTGCAAACTAGGCTGACGGGACCCCACCCTGCACAAATTTCAGTCACTGGACCTCTAGTGTATGAATAACTAAGGTATAATGTGAAGAACACCATTTAAAGAAATTATATTAGCCTTGGCTAATTAGAGCATCATCCATCCTAATATGCCAAGATTGAGGATTTGATCCCTGGTCAGGGCACATACAAGAATCAACCAATTTAAATGGAGCAACAAATTGTTTTTTCTCTCTTTCTTTCTCCCCCCCTACCCTGCTTCCTCTCTAAAAATCAAATAAAAAACTTTTTAAAATAATAAATTATATTAATTGCTCAAACTGTTATTCATCGAAGTAAAACATTAACAGAAAGTATATATCAACCAAAAAGTGGCTCTGGGGCACAGCTGCATCTCCACTAATGCACAAGGGACATCTATCTCCGTGCCCCTCAGAGGCACCCCCAAAGTGTTGGCAAAGAGTAGAGGAGGTGCCACTGGGGCTGCAGCCTCGACATTAGGTCTGCTTGGATGCTGCGGCGGCGGCAGGGTGACCAGTTAACCAGGTGAGGAGCTGCGGACGTGCCAGCTCTGCTCCAAACGCACTTTCTGAGAGGACTAACTAGGTAAGGAACATTTTAGGCTTTGGGGCCATATGTCCTGTACTCATCTTCAGCTACTCATCTTCACCCTGGTGGTGTGAAAGCAGCTGTGGGCACTAGGGAAATAAATGACTGACTGTGTGCCAATTAAATGCTTCATGAAAACAGTAAATGGAAAGACCACATACTGTGTGTGATCCCATTTATCTGAATGCCCAGAACATGCAAATTAACAGAGACTAAAAGTAGATTTGTGGCTGCCAGGGACTGACAAAGGGGGCAATGCAGGTAATACGTACAGAGTTTCTGTTTGGTGAAAATATTCTAGTATTAGATAGTGGTGATGCACAACCCTATGAAAAATCATCGAGCTGTACACTTTAAATGGGTAACCACAGCCGGGACCGGTTTGGCTCAATGGATAGAGCGTCGGCTTGGGGACTGAAGGGACCCGGGTTCGATTCCGGTCAAGGGCATGTACCTTGGTTGTGGGCATGTCCCCGGTGGGGGGTGTGCAAGAGGCAGCTGATTGATGACTCTCATCGATGTTTCTGACTCTCTATCTCTCTCCCTTCCTCTCTGTACAAAATCAATAAAATATATTTAAAAAAAAATAAAATAATAAATGGGTAACTACATGAGTTATATATCAATAAAGCTGTTAAAATAATCAAATATGCTAAAATCAATGCATTAACACTAAATTACAGTTGGCCCTAAAACACAGGTTTGAACTGTGTGGGTCCACTTACACATGTATTTTTTTCAGTAACTACCTGTACTGTTTTCAAGTCACTGTTGGGAGTCCGCGGATGTAAAGGGCTGACTATATGTATTGACTGACACCATTTTATATAGGAGACTTGAGTATCCGTAGATTTTGGTGCCCGTTGGGCATCCTGGAACGCATCCCCTGCAGATACTGAGGGACAACTTAAGTTTTGAAGGAGTCAAAAGTTATACACAGGTTCTTGACTGTGCAGGAGGTTAGCAACCCTTTCCCCTGCATTGTTCAAGGCTTGTAGTCTACACATACACTACCCAGTTGGGCTTTAGAATACATCTTCCTTCCTAGGACCATCATGCAATCTCTCATTTCTATATAAATTAATCTCAAAATATTTCTAAGGGTCTAACAAAAGAGACCTATGCATTAATCCCAAAACAATGCACATTAATAACTTTCTAAGCCCAAAGTCATACTAGAATTTCAACTTCACCTCTTTAATTCTTTTAGTTCCAAATAAACTGCCCTTTTTCTCACATGTGTCTCATTCCTGTATCTCCCTCTCTGGTCTGCATATGTCATCTACAGATCCACCAGGGTTTATCGTTATGGCTTATCCATATACCTTACCAACTGCTTCCACTGACTACATATTTACAAAGAGACGTTCTGAGCATCCTCAAATATATCCCAATCCAAAACATTCTTAGGAGTCCCAAACTTTCTTTTTTGCAAGTGGTTTTTGTTATATAAAGATTATCTTCTTTGTTTTGTTTAGTTAATCCTCACCCAAAGATATTTTTCCACTTTTTTTTTTTTTTTTTAGAGCCTGGAAGGGTGGGGGAGAGACAGAGAGAAACATAAATGTGAGAGACACACATCTATCGGTTGCCTCCTGCATGCACCCTGACCAGAGCCGGGGATTTACCCTGCAAATGAGTTCTGTACCCTTGACTGGAATCAAACCCGTGACCTTTCAGATCGAGAGCCAACACTTTAACCACTGAGCAAAGAGGCCAGGGTAAGATTATCTTTATTTTCACGTACAGTAAGGGTCACTGCTATTCCTTTATTTATTCTATTTCTAAGAAGGAAGAAAGTGGCAGGGATTATCCATTTCAGTTGAACACTCAAGACACGGGAGAAAATCAGTGGATCGGGCAGCTTGGCCAGGGGGAGCCCAGCTAAGCAAACCTGACCAGTGTTTCTTACCTGAACCACCAGAGGCTTCCGTAGGTGCCGGTTCTGCAGTTTCCGGGGCTTTGGCAAGAAGAAATCCGACTGCATCTATGAGGAAAACAGTGCTCAGTCCCTGAGTGTTTTCACAGCAAACATGGTCTGCAGGCAAGCAAAGGGGCACATTCCCTGCACTTACGCTGATGGAGTTCAGGTGCTGAAGGAAAGTCAGTTCTGTCTCTTTATTAGGAGAGAAGAGCTTCCCATGTCGGCTGTTGGGTGGCAAAGTTGTTGGGACAGCAAAAAGGCCACCATCTGAGTCACTGCTTCCTGTACTGGAGGAACCAGCCACCAACAGGGGTCTTGGAGGGTTTCTCAAACCTAGAAAAGGAGAAGGGAAAGTGAATAGAACTAACCTCACCCAGCAACATCTCCAGTGTGAATGGAGTTCTACTGGAAAGAAAACCAAGAAAAATTCCTGACAACCTGTTCCATTTCCTAGAAAGGAGTTCCCTTTTTCTTAGACCCATAAAACCTGCTTTTCCATCTTTCTCCCTGAAATTCTAGTTTCCATCCTGAGATCATAGCTCTTCCTGACAGGATAAAGAAACTTTACCATTCTGTTTGATCCTTGGTGGGAAAGGCAGCTAGGCATTCATTTTGCAGAGCTACGAGAACCTAGCAGAACATCTAGTGTAGAAGAGAGGCCAGCAAAATCTCTCTTTAAAGATAATAAATATTGCTTTGTGGGCCTGCAGCCTTTGCTAATCTCAACTCTGCAGCTGTAGTTCAAAAGCAGCTACAGACAATATGTGTGTGCACTAGTGAGCACAGCCATGTGCCAATATAACTTTATTTACAACTAGGCCGTGGACCATAGTTTGCTGATGCCTGATCTAAATCTCTAATTATACAAAAAACCGACCCAGAAACAGGGACAGAAAGTAGTTATTTAGGAACCACTATTTTGGAACTCTGCTAGCTGTTTTTATTATCATAGATGCTGCTGCAAAGCACCCTTGATTCATGGTAGAATTGGTCTCCTTCCCTTTTTCTTCTTCTTCTTTAAGACATTTTTATTGATTCCAGAGAGAAAGGGAGAGGGAGAGAGAGAGAAACATCCATGATAAGAAAGCAGTATTGGATTGGCTGCCTCATGCACGCCCCTTACTGTGACTGAGCCTGCAACCCCGCCGCATGTGCCCTGCCGGGACAAACTGTGACCTGGTTCTTAGGCTGAGACTCAACCACTGAGCGACACTGGCCAGGCTCCTTCCCTTTTTTTTTTATCTGCAAATCTGTGAGATTACACTGATACTCATGGTATCCAGAGACCAGGTCCACTAAGCACTAGTATGGCTTCTAGCACTGCAGGTGGATTAATTTAGAACAGTGGTCGGCAAACCTTGGCTCCCGAGCCACATGAGGCTCTTTGGCCCCTTGAGTGCAGCTCGGTGTTAGAAACACTTCTTCAAAATAGACTGGCCCAGGCTGAAAACAGCCGTCTGCGCATGGGCCACGAAGTTTCAATCGCACTGTATATGCGCATCCACACGTGGTATTTTGTGGAAGAGCCACACTCAAGAGGCCAAAGAGCCGCATGTGGCTCTCAAGCCATGGTTTGCTGACCACTGGTCTAGAAGCATCCTTAATTAAGAATGAGGGCAAATATTAAAGAATACATAAAATAAAATTTGTTTTTTAATATATTTTGACTTTTTACAGAGAGGAAGGGAGAAGGATAGAGAGTTAGAAACATCGATGAGAGAGAAACATTGATCAGCTGCCTCTTGCACACCCTCCCACTGGGGATGTGCCCACAACCAAGGTACATGCCCTTGACCGGAATTGAACCCGAGACCCTTCAGTCCGCAGGCCGACACTCTATCCGCTGAGCCAAACCGGTTAGGACAAAAATTTTAAAAACAGAATGCAAAAAGAACAGTCTACCAGCTAGCCCTACTATTGAGTACGGTGCCTATATCTGTGAGAACAACCAATTCAAAGTATGCTGCTGCGTCCTCATGAACTATAGCAAGGAAACAGGATAAAGGTGGAGAAAACACAACTAAGAGCTGCAAGGGATGGAGAACCTGATAGCAGCGGCCCAGTTTCCGTAAAGGCCCCTATGAACTGCTCTCAAGGAAATGGAATCTTTGAGCACTAACAGGCGGGCTATTTTCAACACAGCAAGTTAGAGAAGACGTAATGCTCAGAACATTCACTCACCAAAAAATAACCCCAGAGCAGGAATTTTTAAATGTGTTGCCACAGTATTTTTAAAACATGCAATATTTGAGTATTTAGTCAGAGGCACTAACTTCTTCCCTTAAAAATGTCAAATAAAAACAATGACAACAGCCAACACAATAGCTGTCCATGAGAATGAATCAAAATTATTATTTTTTTGGGGGGTCAGATTGGCAAAACATGTATTTTTTGGCGTGCCACAGAATTTCAGTAATTAGTTGATGTATGCCATCAGACGTAAAAGGCTGAAAATCGCAGCCCCAGAGAACACTAAAACACCAGGTAGTAGGTCTCTTCAGCCAAAAAGTTACTGCAGGTTTTGGGGCACCCATCTAGACCAGGGTAAGATCAGAGGCAGGACCGCCTCGCATCCTGTATGACGCACACTGGTCACCATTGCAGAGACAGGACAGAGGCCCCTGTAACTCTTCAGGCCTGGGGTGGAGGCCTTCTTGGCCACAGACACATAGGAACATTGCAGCCCTCAGCCCCACTGTCCCTGCATCCCCATCTCGTCAGGTCAGTCTCAGGAAGAGTTACAAGACTTTGTTGGTCGAGAGGAAGGAAGGCTCAAGTGCAGCCGCATAGCCTTACACCAGGGACATACAGGGCAGGGACGCAGAACACATGCACATTTCTTTTTCTACCTTTAAAATTCAGGATTCTAGCCATGGCAATTATTGTTTCACTATAAAAATACTAAGCAAGGCCAGGCTGGTGTGAATCAGTGGTTGAGTGTCGACCTAGGAACCAGGAGGTCACGGTTTGATTCCTGGTCAGGGCACATGCCTGGGTTGTAGGCTCAATTCTCCAGTAGGGGGCATACAAGAGGCAGCCCATCAATGGTTTTCTCTCATTATTGATGTTCAGTCTTTCCCTCTCCCTCTCTGAAATCAATAAAAATATACTTAAAAAAACACACACATTTATTTCCTCAAGAACATAAAAAAACTAAACAAAACACAAGAAAATTAAGCAAGGAAAACTGATGCCTCGGGGAAGCAAGTCAGGCTGATCCTGGTTTTATGTAGCCAGTAACCCAAATAAGGACTCTGAATTAAAATGTCACCCAGATATACAACTGGGGCCAAAGGAACACAGTGGACTGGCAGGTCAGACCCTCTCTTTTCAAGGTTTGTGTTGTATTAGTGGGATTTCCCTGAACTTGGGTTTCTTTACTCGAATATTTTAGGTGTAAAGAAAACAGTCTTGCTGAAACCGGTTTGGCTCAGTGGTAGAGCGTCGGTCTGCGGGTTGAAAGGTCCCAGGTTCAATTCCGGTCAAGGGCATGTATATTGGTTGCGGGCACATCCCCAGTAGGGGGTGTGCAAGAGGCAGCTGGTCGATGTTGCTCTCTCATCGACGCATCTAGCTATCTCTCTCTCCCTTTCTCTCTGTAAAAAATCAATATAATATATTAAAAAAAGAAAACAGTCTCATAGACAATAGGGTGGTGAAGACCTGTGGGGGTTTGCAGGAGCTGAGTGGAGGGGGGTTAAGAGGGGAAAACGTCTCTGTAATATTGTCAACAATAAAAAAATGTTTAAAAAGAAAACAGCATTTAGGAGATTCAGAAAGAACCAACCCTTCTTAGCCCCTAAACCTCCAACTCAGCATGTAATGGAGGCTCTGCTGCCCCCCCAAAGGGAACGGACTGGCAAGGGCTGCCTCGTGTTTTCCCGGGCTCATGTGCCCTAGGACCCACAGCCCTCGGTGACAGGCCCACACTCACCCTCCCTTTGAGGAAACGGTGATTTCCGTTTTCCTCACCTCCTCCGGGACCGTGGCTGACTGGGGCCAGGCCTCGGGAATCCCTGCGCCTTCAGACCTGGCACAATCCCCATGCCCAGCAGGGCTCCCAGGAGGTGGGCCCTTGGTCAAAGTGGCCACCGAGCCTCACCTGAGGAGGGACAAGGCGCAGAGCTGGGCGAGAAGGCCTTGCTGTTGCGAAGGGCAGACTGGTTTCTCGGGCAGCGGGGGCTCCGGGAGCTGATGTTCACCACCTTCCCAGGGGGCGTGGTCGACTGTTCCTCTGGGGCGGGTCTCGCTGAGGCCATGGAGCTGGCGTTCGATTCTGGAGCCTAGGACAGAAATGGGCAGGAACAACAGCCACACTCAGCCCGTGAACAATGGTTCTGGAATGAGTGCCCAGGAGCAGGAGGCACAAGAACTCCCTGAAATCAGATGGACAGCAAAGGCTAAGCGACTACATTCCATGGCAAAGGTCAGCATCCCTGCATCACTCAGCAGTGCCAGTTTAAAATCACCAGTCAGGTAGGCACTCAGGGTTCTCCCTCCTGAAAACCCTGCCCTCACTGCCCACAGACAGGTGGCATGGACTGGCAAATCATCAGTAAGTGACTAGAGGAAGGGGGGACATATGGCTGAAAGCAATGAGCATCCCGGCCTGGCCAGGAAGGGCTTGCTCTAGCTGCCAGAAGTTGCTGAATTGCAGCGGACCATAACTAGCCTTTAAAAAAAACAAGCTTAAGATGACTGCCAAGAAACCGGTTTGGCTCAGTGGTAGAGCGTCGGCCTGCAGATTGAAAGGTCCCAAGTTCGATTCTGGTCAAGGACGTGTACCTTGGTTGTGGGCACATCCCCATAGGGGGGTGTGCAAGAAGCAACTGATCGATGATTCTCTCTCATCTCATTTCTAACTCTATCCCTCTCTCTTCCTCTCTGTAAAAAATCAATAAAAATAGAAAAGAAAAGAAAAATACAATTGCCATGGCCTCTTCTTACTGAGAGTAGAAAAAGACATACAGATTTAACCTCTAGAATAGTGGTGTCGAACTCAATCAGAGAAGGGGCCAAAATCTAAAATCCAGCCTAAATCGCGGGCCGAATGGTTTACTGAACAGTCATAAACTGTCATTGTGATGGAAACGCAGAGGAGTGCAGTGATGACAGCGCAGTGCGGGCCACATTGCAAGGCCTGGCGGGACGGATTTGGCCCGAGGGCCTTGTGTTTGACACATGTGCTCTAGAATGAAACGCAATCACAGCTGAAGAGCTCCCTGCTGAGTCAATCCCAAACCCCAGGGGTTTCTCATACTGCTGCCTGAGGGCACTGCCTCCACTCTTGAGTCCTCAACAGAGACACTCCCTTCCATCCAGCTGTTCTCACCCTGGTGCCTTTGCCTACCCTGACCTCCACATTCTCCGAGGTATCCACACCCAAGGCTCACTGGGGGACCTTCCAGTAAATTACAAAACCCATTATCCACAATCTCAGCAGCTCTGCTTGCTCAGAGGTTCCATGCCTCCTCTGTACCTCCCATGGTCCTTCAGCCACCAGCCCTGACCCACCTTGCCCCCCAGCTCTTCCTGCTTAGCTTATTCAATCTGACTCATTATTCAATTGTCCAACTGAGTGCCCAGACGGTGTACCACAGACCCAGGGCACTTGCTCTTGTCAGTGATTCACCCGCACCTCAGCAGGAGGGAGACCAAAAGGCCAGGTTATCCATCTCTAATTCAAGGTTCCCACTCTCAGCTGGGGCATCTTGTCAGCAGCTCTCACACCTGAGAAGCATCAGTATCACCTGGTAGATCAGGCAGAGGGTGTCAAAACATGGTCTATAGCCGGGCCAGTGTGACTCAAGGTTGTGTGTCAACCTATGAACAGGAGGTCACAGTTCGACCCTGGTCGGGCACATGCCTGCTGCCGGCGTGGGTTGCAGGCTCAATCCCCAGTGAGGAACATGCAGGAGACAGCCAATTAATGATTCTCTCTCAACACTGATGATATATCTCTCTTCCTCTCCCTTCCTCTCTGCAAAAAAAAAATAAAAAAAAATTAACACACACACACACACACACACACACACACAAAAAAAACACCCACACACACAAAAAACACACACACAAAAACAAAAAACCAGCACAGTGTATAGAGCCCCAGAACCTGCATCAAGTTCCCAGGTAAAGCCAAGACTTGACAGGGGACAGACCCACTTTGGGAACCATGGCTCTGAGCATTCTGCTTTGTGTTCTGTGCAACAGTATTTCCAACCTGCTCCACTCCCCTCTTCGGTTGGGACAAGGCCCCTACCTCCGCAGTGTTTCCTCCAGCCTTCTCAGGAGCCAGTCCAGCTTGGCCTCCTTCCATAAGGTATTGGACATACTCATGTGTCCCCCAGTCTTTTCCTCACCCTCCAAAAAACAAACTTGAAAACGTTTTTAAACTCATAATCTCTGCCCAGTCACCCAGTATTGCCCATGCCTGACCGAGGGGCACCTCCACACTGCGAAATCCAAAGGCCATCTCCCACCCTCAGGCATGCCTCACCAGCCTCTGCAGCATCCAGCCAGTTCCCACGCACCTCTCTCCCGGCACCGATTCACTTCACCTGCTCTACTGAGAGCCTCTGTGTGCAAAGCATTGCATGGGGCACACTGAGAAAATGAAGAGGAGCCTGGTGGGAGGGTCACACCAGAAACCAAGGCAGAACAGCAAATTCACAGACTGAGTGACTGACCAGGTAAGTGGAAGGTGTGGTGTGAGCTCTCGGGCACCACTTACACTTGGTACTGACTGGGAATCAGTACTGAGGGGTGCACAGTGAGCCTGCAGTCCTGCCTGTCCTCCAAAGCCACAGCATTCAGCTCCCTCAACTGTTCCCCCTGGAACTATGAGCCTCTAGGCTTCTAACCACCACTCACACCCTGCTATTTCGGGAACAGCATGCATTAGGACTCTGCCCTTGTGTCCAGGAGATCCTACAAGACTTTCCCTTCAGCAAAAGTCTCTGCCCCATTTGCAGCTCTGCTAATCGGCCTCCCCTGGTTGGGGTCACAAGCCATGGCCTGCCTGGCACGACCACCCCTCCCTGGGCCATCATGGTCACTCCCTGGGCTCAGGGATCACCCACTCATCTAGGATCTTCCTGAGAAGCCCCAGACACTTCGACTAGCCATCTCCTGGACAGCTACCCATGGAGGCTGGCCTGCAGAGGTTTCTTGGGGGTAGCCCCACAAAGCTAAGCCTCACACGGTGCAGCTCTCAGCCCCAGTATTTCATTTGTCGCCTCCCAGCTCCACTGCCTTCACTGAGGCTGTGCCACCCCTGTCCTCCCAGGACAGCCATTCTAAAGTGCAAACTCAACCTTGTCATTCCTCTGCAGAAGCCTGCAACACTCCTGATACTTAGAGAAAGTCCAATCTGGCTCAGTCCTGGCCACGCCTGCCACCTCATCTCGGTACACTGAACCCTTGGCTGGCATGCACAGGGCTCAGCAGAAACAACGGATCCTAGCAAGGCCCTAAAGGAATGGCCCATTGGTTGCTGTCCTCTTTGGAGCCCTGTGTGAGCCTAGAAGGGAAGGACAGGGCCCTTGTCTGGCAAGAAGCCAAAGGCCCAGCCAATGCTCAGCATGGCCTTGCTGAATAGAATGAAACCTGGTCTGTGAGAACCTGTGTCTCTCTGGTCACTGAGGCCCCGGCCTCCTGCCTTCTCTGAGGAGCCTGTGGGCTCCTGGCCAGCTGCTAAGGGGCTGGGCCTGATTGCCCTCTGGGTGCCAAGAGCCATGCCAACACTCACTCACCAGTCTGGGGTTGACCTCAGTGGAGATGAGCTTCAGGAGGCAGCTGAGGAGGCGCTGCTTGTGAAAGGCGGCAGGTGGGGAACCGCCCGGGGCCTGGCCCTCAGGGCCCAGCTCGGCCAGCCAGTCGTACTCCAGCTGCAGCTTGCTCGGCTTTCCCATCATGAGGTAGACTTCGGCCAGTGTCAGGCTCTCGGAGGTCTGCAGGTTCCAGCCCTCTTCGCGGAGCTGCTGGGCCAGCCGGCTGGCAGGGACATCTTTTGGAGGCTTGGCAGGCTGTCCCTGAGGTGGCGGAAGGTCCGAGGGGCTCACCTTCTCCTGGGGCTCCTCCGCAGGAGCATCTGCTGAGTCTTTAGTGCAAACATCTGGCTGGAGCCCTGGGCTGGGCTGAGGCTCCAGGCCAGATAGGCCACGGACAGGAGATGGTGCCCTGGTCCGGGCAAGGTTGGCCACCTCTGCGCTGCTGGGGGCTTGAGTCTCTGGGGAGACACACACTGAGAGCCGAGAGTCTGCACAGTGGCATGGCTCAGGGAGGATGAGGTCCTGGCAGGACTTCATGTAGCGGGGGAAGGGGTCTAGGAGAGAGAGATCGTCCTCCAACTCTGGGAGCTGGCCACAGGCACAAGTCGTGGCCCTGGGCTCTTGGGCTGGGCCGTCCCCAACCTCTATAGGAGCTGCCGTAGGGGTCTGTCCCCCAGCATCCTGGAGCCCAGAGGGAAGCCTGTCGGGAGCGTTCGGGCTGCTGAGGCTTGGGGCAGCCCCCTCCCCAAGGGCACTTTCAGGGGAACTCTCTCCAGAGCTCTGAGAAGTGTCCATGGAGGGAGGAGGCCGCCCCCCGCCCTTGCCTTCGGTGCCGCTCCTTGGGCACTTCACCTGGCCCCTGGCCGTGCCCTGCCCGCTCTGGATGCCCAGGATCTGAGCTGGAGGCAGCGTGTGGGCATCTTTGGAGCTCTGTTTGCACCGGCCACCCTCCTGCCAGTGCACCGTGCAGAAGGCCTTGGAGTGCACCACACGGGCCACTCCTGGGAGGGGGGTCAGCGTACAGTTCTCCCCTGGGAACAGGTGCAGCATTACTTTCTCCTGTGACGGCTCCACAAACGAATCCTGCAGCTGCCGCTCCGCGAGCGTATTTCGCTTAGCGCACTGTCAAGGAACCACCTGCAGCAGCACCCGCCTCTGGGAATCATAGGGCCTTGGGAAAGGCATGACTCAGGTATTTCCTTCTCTAGGAACCTACTCCCAGCACACACTGTTCTGGCTGTGGACTGGGCAGGGCTGGGAGCTGGCTAAGGATAAGTCTGAAACTATCCTTAGTCATTTGATCAACCTGCTCCCAGGGATGCTTGGGCCATACTCCATGGACCAGATGGTAGTTACTCACCATGTGGAGGGCTGCTGTGACCGAGTTCTAACTCTGCCAGGTCTAAAATGGGACCTCACCCCAAAACCCAAAGGACAGGGGGCTATGGATTTTAGTTCCGGCTGTATACCATCTCACAGCATAGCTGCTACACCACATGGGCCCTAGTGCAATTCTGGGAGTGAGAGGCGGGACAGAGACCATTCTGAGGCAGCAGATGCTGTAGATATGATGGTGGTGGTGGTGCGGGAGGGGGGAGGGGGTTGCTCTAGTAGAAAAAAGATACAATCCGCACTTCATGGAGCTCCCACTTCTGCTTCAAAAATTCAATGAGGCTGGAGACCTTGCGATGGAGCTCCACGATCATCCTAGAGGAAACAATAGATGGGAAGAGGAAAGCTGTTACCATGGGGATGGAATCTTCTGAAGAGCCGCCAAGGCTGCTGGCAGCAAGTCAATGTCATAAAGAGTAAAGGCATCTAGAAAAGGTACCAATGCGGAGCCAGAGCCACAATGACTCCCTTTCTTTAAAATAAACCTTTTATTTTTTATTTTTTAATGTATTTTATTGATTTTTTACAGAAAGGAAGCCAGAGTTAAAACATCGATGAGAAAGCATCATCGATCAGCTGCCTCTTGCACACCCCCTACTGGGGATATGCCCGAAACCAAAGGTACATTCAGTCCACAGGCCGACACTCTATCCACTGAGCCAAACCGGTTTCGGCAAAAAATGAACCTTTTAAATTGAGTAACTAGAGACTCATTCAAAACTGCAAGAAGATAAAGCGGAGACCTATGTACCCTTTACAGTGCAAGATCTCACCCAGAACATGGATGTTGGCACAACCCAGCTTAATAGAATTAAACTATATAAGCACCTTTTGGGTTCAAGGCTGGCCAGCCTTAATTAACCCTCCAAAAATAAAAATACATACGGGAGGAATGAAGCGCACACACACTACAGTGTGGATGCTCAGCACCTTGAAAACATGATGCTCAGTGAGAAATCAGAAAGAAAGGATGACAATATGAGATTCCATTTATGCCTAACATCCAGAACAGCCAAATCTATAGAGATAGAAGGTACATTTGTTATTGCTGGGGGCCGAGGACCAGGGGCGGGGGATGAGAAGCAACTATTTAGTGGATACCAGGTTTCCTTTTGGAGTGATAAAAATATTCTGGAACTAAAATAGAAATGGTAGTTGTACAATACTGTGAATGTGAAAGTACTCAAGCATCCTGAATGGGATATCTTAAAAAGACTAATGGCTAGTTCTATGTTATTTGACTTTTTCCTCAATCTATAAAAATAAAAATGTGTAACTGGAAAATGGTTTGTACTCATGGTGGTGCCCCAACCACAAATCAGATACAAAACTTTAGGGAATGGTAAGAGACACATAGAAAGGAATCCACGAGGGAACCCAAATACCACCTTCTGTTCATTTCCCTCCCAGCTGGCTCCCTACCAAACTCCAAAGGCAGTTACCTGAGCCGAGGGTTCTGGGAGAGGCTCTGAACGCGGGCCCAGGCATGATTGTTCCTTGGCTGTAGCTCTACCGGGACTCTCAAGGGCAGACGCACTGGCTTCTGGTCCTCTTCATCACTTAAGCCTGCGACAAGAAGGGGCAGTGAGAGCCTGGCTAAATAGACTGCCATGCAGAAGGCAAAGTCCTTGGCCAGACAACTCAGTCAACAGGAGCCGTGGACAAATGGCCTGGGAGGCGAAGCAGAGCTGGCAGAGAAGCCCACAAGAACTTGTGCCTAGAGAAGCACCAACAGGCCACTAGGGTACCCACAAAGCCGGGACAAGGATTGGGCCACACGAGGCCACGGGACTCCCTCCTGCCACCACTAACACTCCATCTGAATGCTGTGAGTAGAGACACTGCTTTGGAGCCAAGAATTGCCCATGGAGTTAGGAATGCTGCGACACAGAGCTCGGCCTATCAATTGCTAATGGAGCAGAAAAGAATACACCTTCACCCCACCCCAGCCCACCTTCTACGTACCGTCTGGGTCACAGAGCTTCTTCAGGGCTCGGCACATGGGTGCTTTGATTCGCAGGTTTCTTCCTTTGTAACGTACTGTGGTGGCCCTGGGGAAAATTTTAAGGAAATGTTGAGACCTCTAAATGAAAAGTAGCTCTCTGTCCTATGCAGGGAGGGCCCTGGCTGGGCACCCATACTGGCTTTCAGAGTTCCTGCTCAGTCCCATGGCTCTGGATGTCCAATACTTTCCCACTCACAGCTCACCTGCAAATGGGATGCCTGCCATTCACAGGAAACTTGCCCTGCCTGGTAAGGGGTACAGAATCATCTGCTGTCCAACCCCCTGGAAAGCCCTTAACAGTGAGTCCCCTAAGATACCGGATGATGTACCCTTCACTCCTCCTCCTCAGGGTCCCTTGAGAGTAGGTTTCAACCCATCTCTATGTAACCTCAACTCAACTCTAGGAGACCATATCTCCATATCAGCAATGTCCCCCAGTACCTCTGTAAACCATACTGCTGAGACCTGGGGATATAAGGCACTCCCAGCAGGAACGAGGCATCAAGTCAGTGGGCCTGCTTCAAGTCTGTCTGTCATAGCTGAGGTGACACTGTGTGGCAATACTTTATATCCTATCTAATAGGGAATACGCTAATTGACCCTCACACCATCACAAAGATGGCGGCACCCACAGTCAATAAGGAGGGAACATGCTAATTGACTGACATACCCTCAAAGATGGTGGCATCCACAGCCAATAAGGGTATATGCTAATTGCTATCACACCCTCAAAGATGGCGTCCTCCAGTCCACTCAGCCCCTCAGGGCTGGCCCAAGGTAGAGGCAGGCCTGGGATGGGCTGCCTGAGGTTTATGCTGCTGCTGCTGGCAGTGGCGGCAGCAGAGGTATGATGGGGCATCACCTTCCCCTGATCACTGTGTCACCTCCTGCCCTTGAAGGCTCCCGGGCTGTGAGAGGAGGCAGGCCAGGCTGAGGGACCCCCTCTAGTGCATGAATTTTCATGCACTGGGCCTCTAGTAGTGTTAGAATTAAGAGAAATACTATAAATGAGTATAAGAGCCACAAAAAAATAGTTCTTTCTAATAAACACACTTAGAATGCTTTGGAATTACTCAATAAGGGTAGATTGTTTTTTAAAAATGGCTGTCAAGTTGAGTGTGGGCAAGACAACTATGAAAGACTGAGGGTGACCTGGAAGCACTCTGCAGTCCCACTGCTGTGTATTTCTATGCTCGTGCCACTTGAAAATGCTTAGTCGCAAGTGATGCATCTTAACGAGAGCTTCTAAGATAAAAGCCACCCAGAACTCTGAGGACGGGCCCATCAAAGAAAAGGCCTGGACCAGCCACTGTGTGTCTGGTAAACAAACGTAGGTTTCTGTTTTTCAAAAGTTTCAAGGTCTGTGTATATTGTTTTTTAATCCTGTTTTCTGTTTGTTTGACTGTTCTCTAGAGGCAGACATATAACAAACTCATGGGTGATCCAGGGCTGCGAGGTGCTACCGAGGAGGGAATTGGGAGGAGAGCTTTAAAGCAGCAGTAATTAAGCACCAAGTCGATTCTTGGACAACCTCCTCCAATAAAGGGCTCTGGGGACAGGTGGACTTTTCTGCCCATCACCACTTTTTGTTGCATCTGCTCCCAAACAAAACAACACAGTAGCACACAAGACTTAAAGAGCAGGTGGAGCTGTGTCATGTGGCACCTGTTTGTGATGATCACATTTTCCGTCAAACTGCCATTCTGAGACTTCCTTTTTTTTAAAAAGTGAAATTGAGCAGCCCCCTTTTTATGACTAGATAACCATCTTGAGAATACAATTCCTTTCCTTTTCTCTCAAATGGAAGCTCTATGAGCAGCCTGAGTTTGGAGCCTGTACAAGGTAAAGCTATGTTCAAGCTCATACAGAAAAGGCCTCTCAAGGGCTGGCCCCGGTCCTGGGACATGATCTGTACTCCCCGCCCTCACACACCAGCCCTGTGGCTGGAAGACAGGCGAGACTACTGACAGGCCAGGCCAGCTTGACCTCTGATGGGATGTAACAAAACAGAGGATTCTACCTGAACCCCTGAACTCAAGTGTTACTTTGACAGAACAGGCAATAGAATAAATCCCTCTAAGTGCATGGGAGTCTGGCTTTCCATTCTGAGAGATTTATTTTCTTCTCTGCAAAGTTATTTGGTAAATCCAATAAGCATGCTGCTGGGTCTGTGACCAATGTAATAAGATTTAATTTTGGAGCTTTTCTCAATTCATTTACTCTTTTATCTAATTCTATAAATTTTATAACAAAAGGAGATCCACAGCTAATTGAAAAAGGTCTGTAAGAGAAGCATAGACAGGAAGCTGGTTAAATACTCAATGCTTTTTGATCTTGAATCAAGGCACTGTATTAATTTCCCCGCATCTCCGTTTCACTTTACAAGCTTTTCACTTTGTACAAAAAACTGATGTCTATTGGTGAAAGAATGGACACAAATCAATAGAACTGACTTAAAGGTCTTAAAAAAGACACACTTAGTACTGTCAATTGACTTTAGATGATGGTCCTTTCTATAGAAAAGGCTGGGGCAACTGACACCCATAGGCAAAAAAAAAAAAAGAACCTAGGTATTAACTTTACATCATAAAAAAAAAAAAAAAAAAAAAAAAAAAAAAAATCCAAAGTAGAGCATGGATTTAAATGTCAAACAATAAATCTTTTAGAAGGAAACAGGAAAACCCCTTTGTGACCTTATTAGGCAAAGTTCTTAGCAACAACACTTTAGTCCACAAAAGAAAAGGATGGCAAATTGGATGGCTAATCAAAACTAAGTACTCTGTCCTTTGAAAGACAATAGTAAAGAGAATGACCAGACAAGTCACAGAGTGGAATAAAATATTCACAAATCACCTATCTGATAAAAGACTGGTGTCTAGAACAGTGATCGCCAACCTTTCAGACTCGGACCACCGGTTGGGATCTCTGCTCCAAAGTTTTCCTTAAACCAGCGGATGTCAACCGTTCGGACCTCACAGACAATCTGTGGTTTGTGGACCACTAGTTGGCAACCGCTGGTCTAAAACATATAAAGAACTCTCTAAACTCAAACATAAAAAAATAGGTACAAGATTTGAACAAACACTTCACCAAAGAAGAAATACACAAATGATAAAACAAAATAAAGATGCTCAACATCATTAGTCATCACGGAAATGCTAATCAAAACCACAATGAGTCCAGCCAGCGTGGCTTGGTGGTTGAGTATTGACATATGAACTAGGAGGTCACAGCTGAATTCCTAGTCAGGGCACATGCCCAGGTTACAGGCTCCATCCCCAGTATGATGTGCAGGAGGCAGCCAATCAATGATTTTTCTCTCATCATTGATGTTTCTCTTTCTCTCTCCTTCCTCTCTGCAATCAATAAAAATATATTTTAAACACACACACACACACACTGAAATACCACTTCACTACCACTAGGATTCAAAAGGAGCTACTGGAATTCTCCCTGGAAAGTTCTGGCAGTCCATATAGAGTTAGGCACACACTTACCATCTCCTCCACTGAAGATGTGCCCAGGAGAAAAAAAATGTTTTAAGTTGCTTATTTCTATTAACAGCCCTGTCCCTTTGGTGGATGTATAAACGGACCACGAAACCGCCACACTGGAGACACTGCAGGAAAAGGCGCGACCGGATCCCATGCAGCCACATGGATGGCTGTCAGTGTCTATTGCAGAGCGGAAGATGCCAGCCTCAGAAGGCCACCCGGACTGTCCCGTTTAGATGACATTCTGGGAAAGGCAGAACTACAGGGAAGGGAGAGCAGCTCTGTGGTTGCTGGGACCAGGCATAGGGCCAGGATGATTATAGGAGGAGAGCACAAGGAAACCTTGGATGAGGGAACTCTCTTGTATCTTGGTTGTGGTGGTATACAACTCTACACATTTGTAAAAACTCAGAAATGTAAGTAAAAGAGCTAGTCTGAAAAGGCTACCTGCTGTATGATTCCAACTCTGACTTTTTTGGAAAAGGCAACTATGAAGACTGTACAAAGTCAGAGGTTGCTAGACTGTAGGTTAGAAAGAGATAAATCGGTGGAGCACAGGGGCTTTCTAGGCAAGTGAAACTGCAGGATCCTGTAATAGTGGAGACAGGACATTATGCATTTGTCAAAAACTCTTAGAATGTACACCACCAAGAGTGAACTCTAATTGAACCGTGGACTTGTGAAACCTGAGAAAGACGACACCTACTAAAAAGGTCTCCTCATGGCTAACTGGACTCAAATTTTAAGAAAACAGAAACTCGCCCTGACTGGTGTTGTTCAATGGTCAGAGCTCCATCTTATGCACCGAAACGGCCATGGGTTCGATTCCTGGTTAGGGAACATACCCAGGTTGCAGGTTCAATCCCTAGTTGAGGTGCAGGTGTGAGGCAACTGATTGATGTTTTTCTCTCTCTAGTTTTAATGAAAAGTATGTTGTTGGATGGGGATTAAAAAATAATAATAATAAAACAGAGAGCCTAATAGCTATTTGTTCACAGGAATCTCTCATGCAAACTGCACTTTAGGGAGAAGCCAGCACTGAATTGCCTGGCTGCACTGTGTTTCTGCCATCTGAACCAGCCCTAATAAAGAAGTTCCTGGAATCCCATTTCAACCAACAGAACTGTTTTTCACCATTCAATTGGAGCTGTGCAGCTCCAGCCACTCAGAGCAGCTCTATTCTGACCAATCAGGACAGTGCCTTTTGAACTAACCAAACTAAGGATGTAGAGTCCTCACTTGCTTGAAAGAGCCATCAGTGACCAGGGAAGGGGACTTCTATCCCTATTAGCCAGTTCCCTTGTGACTCTGAGAGCACACCTTCTCCTTCCTCTGACCACTAAAGACTATTCCCTGGCTGAAGATGTCTTGCTGAACACAGCAGTCCAGGCTGGAGCAGACTAGCACAAAACAGACCAGACCAAAGTACCGCATGCAGAGCAGACCCGTGCAATGCAAAGCACATTGGCAAGAAGCAGAGCATTGCCAAAACCGGTTTGGCTCAGTGCATGGAACGTCGGACTGCAGATTAAGGGGTCCTGGGTTCAATTCG